CTGGAATGTTTTTCATCACTTGTATAGCAGATTCATTGTTTTTCATCACTTGTATCTTTTTTTGTTTATTTTTTGTAGTATATCATTTATCGTCATGAGTTCTACTGCTACTTCAAGTGGAAAAGTAAGGGGAGGAAGGGGACAAAATAAGCGCTATTGGACAACTAAGGAGGATAACACATTGATGGAATGCTTGATGGAACTCCATCAGAATACCAATTGGCGAGGTGACTCAGGCTTTAAAAATGGATACTTGAATAAATTAGAAATTATGCTAGAAGTCAAACTTCCGAATTCTGGGTTGAAGGCATCACCCCATATTGAATCAAGGGTGAAGACTTTGAAGGGAAAATATGGTGCTTTAGCTGATGCATTATCTCAAAGTGGTTTTGGGTGGAATGAAGAGGAGATGATGTTGGTATGTGAGAAAAGTGTATTTGATGCATGGGCGAAGGTAAATCTAAGCATATCCTATTATGTGCATATCAAATGAAAAAAATACATATGTTATGCTATGTCTTTAATATTTATTTAAGAATACTAATGCAGATATATATATATATTGTAATTGTAGAACAAAAAGGATGCAAGTGGTTTGTATGGCAAGTCGTTTCCACATTACTATACACTTGGAGAAATATTTGGAAAAGATCGTGCTATTGGAACAAATGCTGGAAATGCTGATGATGATGAAGAAGACGTTAGGCGAGATGATGCAAGTGTTCATCAGAATAGAAGTGTGGGTGATGATTTTATTGAGGAGATGTTTTCACATCCTGATGGTGGGTCACAATATGGGGGTTCAGAATATGAGGGATCTCAATTTGATGATGTTGAGGATTTAGAAGATGATGAGACAACTTTTACACAACCAAATCCCCAACCCTCAAGTGCCCAACAACGTGCCCAACAGAAGAGACCCGCACAAGATGTAGCAAGTGGTCCAAGTAATCCTCGTAGGAAGGTAAATGCTTTGAATGAAATGTCTAACAAATTTGGACTTATGGCTGAAGCTGTAGCAGGAATGGCACCTCAGCTTGCAGGCTTGGTTAATGTTCTTTCAACAGAGAAGGATCTTGCTGATATGCAAGCTAAACTTGGTGGTGAATTGAGGAAAATAGAATTCCTATCTCCTTTGCAAGTATTTCGTATCACCAATATTTTAGCCAAAGAGCACGATTTGCTGAGGGTCTTCTTTACCATGACCGATGAAGAAAAAAAAGATTATGTATTTAATCTTATGGAGCATGGCTTACAGTGATTGTTATTGATGAGTAATGGGCAAATGACTTACTAGGTTCATTATATATCTCTTCTTTTGGTAGTATAACTATTATGTATTTAATCGTATGAAGATTATGCAAGTTATTATTATTTGATTGTTTACTAGTTATGTAAGTGAAAGATATTTGTTTATTGGAGTTTATTTTTTCGTATGAAGATTTCTTTGATAACGGATTCCCTTTTACTGATAAATTCAAAACCCCCTTTCCAATAGTTTGGTATGTTCTTTGCATATTTATTGTGAATAGAGAACTGAGATAAATGAGAGAACTGAAAACAGAAAACAGAAAAGCAACACATGCAAATGCAATTCCAAACAGGAACTAGGAAAAGCATCAAAAACCCAAAACACAAATTAGCAAAATTACGATCCATGGATGACACTTGACACTCAAAGACAGCAACACAATGACACGAACGCACATGTAGAAATATATCCATCACTTTGACTTAGGCACTCTTTATTTATACTACATATGCTATCGTTCTTTTCCTTCTTCTTTACGTTCATCTCCTCTCCAATGTCTCGAATCCTCAAAGCTTGGCCTGGTCTTTACCGAGGCTCTGCTGCTGCTTCCCCTTACTTCACTTGTGCAAATCATGTTTACACCGCATTATTGAGAATTATATATGTGTTGTAGTGAAAATGTGTAGGGCATTTTAGTAATCAAATTAATTTGGATTCTGATTCATGAAAATTAGTAAACAATAACAATGGGAATCAACCCCATTCCTTAACTAATTCCGTATGTTTAGTAAACAGCGTAATGGGAATGATTCTTCCCATACCGATTCAGTAGTTCTCCGATTCCTGAATTCTCTGATTCCTTCCCATTCCCATTACTGATACGTAAACATGCCCTTAATCTTTTTCCATTAATTGTCTCCAAAAGAGAAGTATTTTTCTAAATGAAATTCACCCTTTCATGAATTATATGGCTCTAATTTCTTTTTTTTCTTTTTTTTTGTGTTTGTAATTAACGTGATTTATAAGTTTTAATGTATACTTCTATTTTCGAGAAAAACTATAGAAAATGTAAGTACCAAAAGAAAAATTATCATTCAATTGTAAGTAGTCCACCTATTAAAAAAAATTTAATTCGGCCCTATTAAGGGATGACATCATACAAATTTCATAACAGTGTTTGTGATAAACTGATAACCAGTGTGAAAGTATAACAAATAGTCTTACTACTCCACTAATTAATCTTATCTTTGTTTTTTTGGTCTGGTAATTAATCTTATCTTTAACAAGTGCCGATGTGCATGATATTCACATGTTGCAACAGTGGCATGGACATTGATGAATGAAAGAAAATACAAGTGTACGATATATATTTCACGATCTTTTGATTGGATCTACCCAAAAAGAGTCGGGATATGTTCTGCAGCAGCAATATCTTTTCGTCATGTATGCTAATTAATGATACGTCATATATTTATTATTTAAGCATGTTCAATTTTCAAAACGAGAAACATAAGACATAAACGAAAATTATGGTTTAGTTAGTGGGAATGCTTAATTGGAGATAATAATAACAATTAGTGGCCAACGAGAATGCACAACACATCTGGACATTTAAAATACTGTAGATTAATCTTTATAATTTGTTGGGGTTCTTGGGCATAGACCTTCCCAAAAAATGTGGGTCTGTATTGTACTCTATGTTGAAGAATCAACACCCGATTTTTGGGATTTTAGTGAAGATTTTTAAAAGTTCATATATGTAGTCAATCGGAACTTTCTACGAGTCAATAGAAATTTAGATGTATTTAATATAAAAAATTATAATGCAATAAAAAGAGATATAATTCTTTATTTTCACATTGCCCTAATATATTGTTTCATTTTGTTGCATCCTAATTTCAATTTGCGGTTGGATGATTTGATGCACGCAATTCATATCCTATATTTTATTGTCCTGTTTTCAAAGAAGCCACTAATTAACACGTAAGTAGGAACGGTGACATAAAAAATTGATAACAAGACAAATGACGTAAGGCAACAACGGAATGGATGACGTCGGACGACTCGCCACATATGCACAAACGTGGTGGAGTAGTGTACATAAATAAGACATGAACAGATATATTTCATGATCTTCTGATCTGCACAGAAAAAGAGAGTAAACTCTTTTGTCAGCCATATGGTTAGTTTAGTCGGAATGCTTTACTGGGGAAAATAATAATAATAATAATTTGTGGCAGATATAAACTGCCACTTGTATGTTCTACGGTATTCTATATTCAAGAGTCAAAACACGAGATTTGTATGTCTTTTATTTTTGTTTTCTCAAAAAATAAGCAGTCCGTCGCAGATTTTTTGGATTATCAGACGAAACTGACCTATTTGTTTCTATAGTTTAAAATTTGGTAGAATTGTAGGGCTTTTCGCTTTCAGACCATGTCGATCATTTCTGATTCATTATCTGTCCAAAGCCATTTTTTTTTAAAACAATAAATAATTAACATATAAAAGAAGTTGGGTCCAATGTGAAATGAGGTGGATCATTGTTATTGTATTAGACTCAGTAATCTCTGGTACAACATACACTATTAGCTAATCTTATGACACTTGTCCTCATTCTTGCATCATACTTTAAAACACCCAATTAGAGTAGTTCCCCTTCCTATGACATATCATTATATTGTCTTTGTGGTGAAGTAATTATGTGAGTTCTGTTTTTAACCTTCAAAATGAAATTGAAACTCTTTAACACAATTAAAACCCAGGTTCTATATTTGTTCCGGAGTTCGGATAGGAAAATACTTAACTCCTTATTCGAACACTATATGTGTTCTTACTATTTGGGATTTTAATAGAAAAATATGTACTTGACTCCTTACAAACAAATCACAGTCTGAAAATCTGTCTTTTTATTTATTTATAATTATATTGAGGTACATTTACGTACGTGGCCACTGTGATATTTATGATGGCCTTTTGTCAATTGTTTTCAACCTTATTGTCTCTTAAAGTTTGAGTAGCTTCACATGGAGATAAAATGGGGAGTAATATTTTATTTGGGACAAGTTTTAGACTACAGTACAAACTGAATATGGCTATAAATAGGGCAGGCATAATGCAAGGATGCTGCACCAACACATCAAGCTACGAGCCAATACCCGTTCTTTAGCCCTAGCCTTTGAAATCCCCAAGACTCCCTACCCTAAGTCATCATCATGCTAGGCGACCTCGCAAAAAATTTGTTTCTTAAAGTTGAGACTAGCCTGTTTTCCATGTCTGATAAGAAAATCTTGGACCAAATTTATGCAACTCATTATGTCAATGTTGATACTTCCTTTGATGAGGATTCTCTTTTCGAAATTGTTGAAAACATCCTCAAGCATGCAATCCAAACTGTCGACAAAATTGGGCTATTTCGACTCTTGTTGCTTGCGCAACTAAGGTCACTATTCTCACCAGTGATGAGTACGTTAACTCTTCATTCTTAATTGATGTCTGACAAAAAAAATTCAATATTTGTTTAGTACTTCAAATAATAAGACCATGGTTGACTTTGTTTCAGGGACAAGGAGCATGACCTAGTCCCATACGCTCAAAAAATCCATTTCATCCTGAACAAGCTTAACATGCAGCTGAAAATTTGTAGAAAACAAGTTGGTGTGTAATTACTTGCAGATCCTTCATTAGGAGTCATATTATAATATTAATGAAAAATGCTGAAGAAAGTAATTTTCTGTATAATCCACAGAGGACGCAGAAGCTTACCGGAGGATAAGGAAAATCTTTCGAACTCCTACTGAAATCAAGGAGGTTTTCAAGGCCCTGATCTTTAGCAAAGACAATGTTCAGCCACTGATTGATGGTTCTACTAAACAAACGGTTTGCTCTATTAAAAACTTTACAAATTGTTGTTCAAGAAGTATATTAGGTTTTTAATAGAGTGAAATTGTGGTGGCTTAATTATTTAAACAGGTTGATATCGACATCCTGAGGAAGAAAAACATACTACTATTCCTTTCAAGCCTAGAAATCACTAATGATGACATTTCTATCCTCAAACCCATTTATGAGTTCACTAAGAAAGAGGACCAGCATAAGATTGTGTGGATTCCAATCGTCGAGCAGTGGACCGATGAGCTGCAAAAGAAGTTCGAGACCCTGAGGATCAAGATGCCGTGGTACACAGTGCAGATCTCTGCACCCATAGCTGGTATCAGGTTCATCAAGGAGGAGTGGAACTTCAAGGGTAAGCCTACATTGGTGGTGATGAGCCCACAAGGAAAGGTTGAACATTCCAACGCATTCCACATGATTCGGGTATGGGGACCCAAGGCCTTCCCTTTCACAGAAGCAAGAGAAAAATAAATCTCAAAGTCTCTTCAATGGTTTGGCAATTTAATCAGAGAGATTTATCCGACTCTACCCGACTCTGTAAGTTCCTTTTAATTAATAATTCCAACAAAAACCATACATTTATCAAAGCCATACATTTAGGGTCCCTCTGACATTACCCGTATTTGAATCTATGATGTTAATTTGATGATAAAGCAAGTTTTTGTGGTTTATTTATTTTGATCAAACAGAAAGAGGATGAGTACATTTTCTTCTATGGAGGCAAAGACAAAGAGTGGATGAAACAATTCAAAGAGAAAGCAACTGCTCTTGCAAATGATCTCATCTTGAAGGAAGCAAAGATTAACATAAAGTTGTTTTGTGTGGGGAAAGACAGCAAGGGAGAAGATGACTTTGGCATTCTATGGCGCTTCTGGACCGGAATAGAAAGCCTGTTCCACACCAAGATACACAAGCAGGCCGACTCAGCCACACTAGATATCCAAAAGCTACTTTCTTACAAAAATGAAAGTGGATGGGCTGTGCTCAGCAAGGGGTCTTCTTTTTGGTTGTCGCTGGTCATGGTATCTCAATTTTGAAGGTGACAGAGGACTTTGACAAATGGAAGGGACAAGTGAGAGAGAAAGGCTTTGAGTTTTGTTTCACAACATACTATGCGAAGATGGGCTTTACACCTTGCTGCCGCCTTGATATTCCAGGCTCTACCGGGAAGGTCCCGGACACAATGAAATGTCCCGATTGCAACCGTAGCATGGAGACGTTTATCAGTTACAAGTGCTGCCACATTGATGCTCCTAATGTGCATCATTAAGTTCTGGGTTTCGTTCTTTTAGTACCACTGCTAGGCAGTGGATATTATGCTAGAATAAAAGGGTATCTAATTTCCCATTCCTGTAATGTGGAGTACAGGTTGTGTAATTGTTCTATTATGTTTCTTTCGGCTAGATTATTTATGGCAGTCTTTGTGATGTTAATGTTTTATTGGTAAATTATGTATTGAATAATTTCAATGTACTGTTTGTTGGCTTTGCAAGGCATTACAAGCATGTTTGAGTTGAAATTAGTCCCACATTGTAAGACTTCCACTTGGAAGTAGCAAGAATTCAATAGTGAGCGCCTTATATATAGCCCTTAGGTGAGGCCCTATTTCTTAATCATTGGATCAAGCTAACCAAATTGATCCAACGGCTAATCAATTTGATCCAACGGGTAAAAAATAGGGCCTTACCTAAGGGCCATATATTAGGCTCTCACTATAGAATGACTCTTGGAAATAAATTAGTTTGGGGCTATGCAAGTTGCCCAAATTGATCCAACGGCTAACCAATTTATCTCCTTAAAAACATTGTCTTGAGACGCACATGTAGACGAACTAGGAAGATTTTGACAATTCCTAGTGACTTTGGTTTTATCTTTGACAACCCTTCTATATTTCTTAACAAACAAGGCAAGCTCATCATAAATGCAAGGAGCAATTTGATCCGTTTTTATGTTTGCACACCTAATACCAATTAGCACCTAAATGATCTCTCTATTTATGTTAAGAGCTGGTGCTCTAATACCAATTGAAATTGATACTTAGGTGACGAGGGGTAAATTTTACAACACTCAAACAAAACGCAACAATCTTCACACACTTTAGACCTTGACCAAAAACACTTATGACTAGTCAACTGCTAGTCATGAACAGCCACAATCAAGAATACACACAGAGCATGCCACTACTACTACAAAAAAGGCCAAAGACGACGGGAATTCACCGTCGTGTATTCGGTTTTCAAACGGTCGTGAAATCGACCGACATCTATTTGGGTGTCAAACTACGACGGCTTTTCACCGTCGTTGTTTATCCATAACGACGACGGTTTTTAAAGAAAATCGTCGTTGTTTAGAGATAAAGATCGTTAATTATAGGAGGAAAGACGGCTGTTTTTAATAAAACCGTCGTGTATTGTATGTAAAGATGACGATTTTTTATAAAAACCGTCGTGGATTGTTTATAAAGACGTCATCTTTACGTACAATAGACGACGGTTTTTTTTATAAAAAGCGTCATCTTTATGTACAATAGACGACAGTTTTTTTATAAAAAGGGTCGTCTTTACATACAATAGACGACGGTTTTTTTATAAAAAGCGTCGTCTTTACTTACAATAGACGACGGTATTTTATAAAAAGCGTCGTCTTTACTTACAATAGACGACGGTTTTTTTTTATAAAAAGCGTCGTCTTTACTTACAATAGACGACGGTATTTTATATAAAAAACGTCGTCTTTACTTACAATAGACGACGGTATTTTATATAAAAAGCGTCGTCTTTACTTACAATAGACGACGGTATTTTATAAAAAGCGTCATTTTACTTACAATAGACGACGATTTTTTTTTATAAAAAGCGTCATCTTTACTTACAATAGACGACGGTTTTTTTATAAAAAGCGTCATCTTTACATACAATAGACGATGGTTTTTATAAAAAGCGTCATCTTTACATACAATAGACGACGGTTTTTATAAAAAAACATCATCTTTACGTACAACAATGTTTTTTGATTTCCTATGATGCTATACAATGATTTTAACCAGAAAACCAACCATAATGCTTTATTAATGAATATATAATAGTTTCTTTCATAAAACTTGAAGATTCAATAGTTATTACATAGTTAACCAATCTTTAATCTACAACAAACATAATTCCTAACAAGACCTACGTACTCCTAATCCAAGCATTCCTCATCCAAACATACAAATGATGCACAACTGAAGTCTCCTCCATCATCCCTGTAAATAAATCAAAATGACAAAGAGAGAAAAAAAAGAAGAAGCTAAGATTATAAACATAAAAAATTAGGTGGAAGAGAAATTTTACCATTGGTCTATATTTCCATAGAAAACTTGTAAAATGAGCATAAAAAAGACCATCAAGAACCTGCAAATTTTCAACAACAAAAAACAAACTCACATAGAAAACCTACAAAAGAAAAAGTTATAAATCTGCAAGTTTCCTCCTCATCTCCTGATAACCAAATCAGAAAATCTAAAAAGAAACTAGAAAAAAAAATGTAAACAAATCAGACAAATCAAGAGAGACAAAATCTGAAATTAGGGAGACAAAGAACATACCAAAAACGCAAAGAGACTAAGACCTCAACCAGCTTTGATTCTCAAATACAAAATATCCCTCTACATCTTATGGATTTGCTAAGACCTCAATCTCTCAACTCCTTCATTGATATCGATTTTTTGATGATTTTGTAAAGAGTTTCATGAGGGTGTTTTAGAGAGTGCAGGAGGGTTTCAAGGAGGGAGAGATGAGGTTTTCAGAGACGGGGGAAAATCTGAAAATTTGTTGAGCGCGAATTCACTTAAGTAGACTTTTTTTAGCGTGTTTTAAAAGACGACGCTTGTTAATGAGAGATAAGATTTTCAAAGACGGGTGAAAATTTGAAAATTTGTCGAGCGCGAATTCACTTAAGCGGCCATTTTTTAGCGTGTTTTAAAAGACGACGCTTTTTTTAAAAAAAAAATTTGTCATCTTTACATATAATAGACGACGGTTTTTATAAAAAGCGTCATCTTTACATACAATAGACGACGGTTTTTTATAAAAAGCGTCATCTTTACGTACAATAGACGACGGTTTTATAAAAAGCGTCATCTTTACATACAATAGACGATTTTTTACCGCTACACTCCTTGACCCTATATGAATACAATGATTGAATTTGATCTTCAATTTAAAATATTTACACTAGTGGATACCACAAAATCTTATGTTATATTTAACGAAAGTATAAATAAACTCTTAATTGTTAGTGAATATTTTTTTTTATGGCATACGCATTTTAAGAAACTAGTTTCAACGATCCAACCGTCAAAATTGTTTGTTTATACTTCGAGATCATATACGCCAAAAATCGGAAAAAATAAACATTCAGAGATCAAGTAACGGGACAAAAAATTTTGACGGTTATAAATGAAAAATCATGATTTAACGGTTATTTTAACTCCGATTTTGATGATTTTTTACCGCTACACTCCTTGACCCTATATGAATACAATGATTGAATTTGATCTTCAATTTAAAATATTTACACTAGTGGATACCACAAAATCTTATGTTATATTTAACGAAAGTATAAATAAACTCTTAATTGTTAGTGAATATATTGTTTTGATGGCATACGCATTCTAAGAAACTAGTTTCAATGATCCAACCGTCAAACTTGTTTGTTTATACTTCGAGATCATATACGCCAAAAATCGGAAAAAATAAACATTCAGAGATCAAGTAACGAGACAAAAAATTCGACGGTTATAAATGAAAAATCATGATTTAACGGTTATTTTAACTCCGATTTTGATGATTTTTTACCGCTACACTCCTTGACCCTATATGAATACAATGATTGAATTTGATCTTCAATTTAAAATATTTACACTAGTGGATACCCACAAAATCTTATGTCATATTTAACGAAAGTATAAATAAACTCTTAATTGTTAGTGAATATATTGTTTTGATGGCATACGCATTCTAAGAAACTAGTTTCAATGATCCAACCATCAAACTTGTTTGTTTATACTTCGAGATCATATACGCCAAAAATCGGAAAAAATAAACATTCAGAGATCAAGTAACTGGACAAAAAATTTCGACGGTTATAAATGAAAAATCATGATTTAACGGTTATTTTAACTCCGATTTTGATGATTTTTTAACCGCTACACTCCTTGACCCTATATGAATACAATGATTGAATTTGATCTTCAATTTAAAATATTTACACTAGTGGATACCACAAAATCTTATGTTATATTTAACGAAAGTATAAATAAACTCTTAATTGTTAGTGAATATATTGTTTTGATGGCATACGCATTCTAAGAAACTAGTTTCAATGATCCAACCGTCAAACTTGTTTGTTTATACTTCGAGATCATATACGCCAAAAATCGGAAAAAATAAACATTCAGAGATCAAGTAACGAGACAAAAAATTTCGACGGTTATAAATGAAAAATCATGATTTAACGGTTATTTTAACTCCGATTTTGATGATTTTTTACCGCTACACTCCTTGACCCTATATGAATACAATGATTGAATTTGATCTTCAATTTAAAATATTTACACTAGTGGATACCACAAAATCTTATGTCATGTTTAACGAAAGTATAAATAAACTCTTAATTGTTAGTGAATATATTGTTTTGATGGCATACGCATTCTAAGAAACTAGTTTTAATGATCCAACCGTCAAACTTGTTTGTTTATACTTCGAGATCATATACGCCAAAAATCGGAAAAAATAAACATTCAGATATCAAGTAACGGGACAAAACATTTCGACGGTTATAAATGAAAAATCATGATTTAACGGTTATTTTAACTCCGATTTTGATGATTTTTTACCGCTACACTCCTTGACCCTATATGAATACAATGATTGAATTTGATCTTCAATTTAAAATATTTACACTAGTGGATACCACAAAATCTTATGTTATATTTAACGAAAGTATAAATAAACTCTTAATTGTTAGTGAATATATTGTTTTGATGGCATATGCATTCTAAGAAACTAGTTTCAATGATCCAACCGTCAAACTTGTTTGTTTATACTTCGAGATCATATACGCCAAAAATTGGAAAAATAAACATTCAGAGATCAAGTAATGAGACAAAAAAATTCGACGGTTATAAATGAAAAATAATGATTTAACGGTTATTTTAACTTCGATTTTGATGATTTTTTACCACTACACTCCTTGACCCTATATGAATACAATGACTGAATTTGATCTTCAACTTAAAATATTTACACTAGTGGATACCACAAAATCTTATGTTATATTTAACAAAAGTATAGATAAACTCTTAATTGTTAGACGACGGTTTTTTTTATAAAAAGCGTCATCTTTACGTACAATAGACACGTACAATAGACGACGGTTTTTTTATAAAAGCGTCATCTTTACTCACAATAGACGACGGTTTTTATAAAAAGCGTCATCTTTACATACAATAGACGACGGTTTTATAAAAAGCGTCATCTTTACATACAATAAACGACGGTTTTTTAAAAGTGTCATCTTTACAGACAATAGACGACGGTTTTTATAAAAAGCGTCATCTTTACATACAATAGACGACGGTTTTTATAAAAAGCGTCATCTTTACATATAATAGACAACTTTTTTTATATAAAAAGCGTCATCTTTACATTCAATAGACGACGGTTTTTATAAAAAACGTCATCTTTACATACAATAGACGACGATTTATAAAAAGAGTCATCTTTACATACAATAGACGACGGTTTTTATAAAAAGCGTCATCTTTACGTACGATAGACGACGGGTTTTATAAAAAGCGTCATCTTTACATATAATAGACGACGGTTTGTATAAAAATCGTCATCTTTACATATAATAGACGACGGTTTTTATCAAAACAACCACGTCTTTACCAAAAAAATGACACTTGATTTTTAAAAGACGACGCTTGTCATACCTGCTGTTGTTGTTTTTTGGTCAGATTTTAACTCTGAAGAAAACCTTTTTAATAAGACGACACTTTTTTATTTGTGTGCGTCGTTATAAAAAAATATTCAACAGTACCTCCGGTTTTTAGTTGTTTAAGCCATCACGACGGTTTTTTGTTACCGTCGTCTTTTTAAATACAACGATGATTTTTTCTTCTACCGTCGTCTTTTTCTGGTCGTCTTTTTCACTTTTTGTAGTAGTGCACAATGTACCTGCAACCCTAGAAGATTACTAGTGACAACTTAGGCACTCAGAAGGACCTATCAATCTAGGCATCCCCTGTGCTAGCAACAACTATGGTGAAAATGTGTGACATAATCATAATCAAGTAAACACCAAACAACAGATAATGATGACTAGTCAACTACAAGGACACAAACCCAAAATTCATACGATGACTAGTCAACCACCAAGAACACAAACCTATAATTCATACGATTGACCTAGAATTCATACGATGACTAGTCAACCACCAAGAACACAAACCCATAAAAATTACAGAGATGCAATCAGAATTTGTTCACCCAAAAACCCACCATTGGGAAAAACTAGGGGTAATCAACCGACCAGGCAATCCACTAAGTAGAAGAAGATTCTTACAAAGGAACACAAGTAAGCTCAAGAAAAACATAGATCTATTAAGGAAGATGAGTTATACCTCATTTGTGCAATTTTCTTCTTCAACTTAGCAAAGCTTGAAGCTCAGTTCTTCATGGCAATGGCAACTCCTTCTCCAACTCATTCATTCCATGGCACTAGCTTGCAAGTTCTAACTCAGACAAAAACCAAAATTTGGATTAAAAGAAGAATGACCAATTTCTTCAAGAAACCATACTCTTGAAGAAATCAATCTTGAATATGACCTAGATATATATGAGAGAATGTTTGATCTAGCAAGATGAGGTTTTCATATTTCAAATGGAATTTTAAAAAAGAAACATTTTGGAAAACTCAAAGATGAAAAATATGAAGGTTACACTTGAGGAAGAAGAGAAAGTTTATAGAGAAACTTTCCAAAACTTGCCTACAAAAGTGACGGCTGCCACCCAAAAATTCCCTAGGTCTGAATTAACACATGGCAGCAAAGAGAGAAATGAGAATAGGACAAAATAGTTGATTATCCAGCTAAAAATCCTATAGAGCAAGGATAACTAGTCATACGAGAAACAGATGACTATTCGTCATATTATGAAATCAATTTAATGCAATGTGATGCAATGCACAATTTACTTTTGTCAATTTGCTTGAACCTCCATATGATAGTTGTTAGTAAAGAATACCTAAAAAAGCTATTCTTAATATAAACTTGAGCTTGATAAAAACAATAAAAATCCTATTACAAAATTGTCAAGGGAAGTCAAAATAAAAACTCAAAATGCATACATTAACAATTTCGCCAGAAATCAAAGCCCCAGTACTAGGATTTTGATTTAGATAGTTGTATGTTGATGGAGTAGACACCTGCAGAACTATAAGCACTTGGTAGAGGCGAGACCAATGACTTGAGTATTATATATATATATATATATATGTTAATTTACTAATACTAATTGATGTTGGCAATAATGCAACCGATGACGTCGGTGGTGTTTTCGAACAATCTTTAGTTTATTGGGATATGTACGTTTAATATAACATCGTAGTCTGTACACATATCTTCATATGGTTTTAAGTTCAATCTCCAGAACATGTGAAAAATAACTAATGAACTCGAGGTCCTTGTTAATTAAATATTTGAAGGGTGACTTTTGATCAATTATGCCTGCTTGCTGGGTCCGACTGGCCAGTGGCAATATTTGATTGTAACATGTCAATATCAAGCACGTCAGAACTTATTAAAGATAAGATTAATTACCCAATAAACCAAAAGATTAGATTAAATGCGTTAGTCAGATTACTTGTTGGACTTCACACTGGTTATCATTTATCATAGACAGTTATGGTTTCAGTAACCAAGAAATACCATTTTTTTTTGGGAAATTCTATATGAACCCCATAAATTACTCTTTACACCCCATAATTTTTTACACCCCACTAAATTTTAATAAAATTTCAAATTACTCATTAAACCCCTTTTTTTTCCCTAAATTGCCCTCATAAACCCCATTCCCTAACTACCCACCAAAAACCCCCTTCCCTTTCAGCCACACCCCATCTGAAATCAAACCCCACCCTATCTGATATCCAGCCCCACCCCACCAAAAATTCTCTCCTCTTGCAGACACACCTCATCGCACACCCCATCCCATTTACACCAACCTCCATTGCAGAACCATCGAAGAAGCCCTTTGCCATCGCCTCCAGCGAACCCGAACCATCTCTGAAACAGAACCATCACACCCATCTCCATCTCTACAAACCCGAAAGCCATTGAAAGTCAAGTTCTCACAAATCCTTATTCAAGGTTTGATTTCAAATTTGATTTATATATTTACGTTTCTAAGTGTTGATTAAGCCTACGTTTGATTTCACTTTTGAAAAGCCAAAGTCTGATATTGATTTTGATTTTGATTTCAAGGTTCTAGGTAGTACGAACCTGGTTTTCCGAAAATGGATTCTAGTTTCGGTGGATTGCCACCGAAATGATTACATTGCTTCAGTGGTAGTTCACCGAATTGAACCTGTACTTTCGGTGGGTTACCACCGAAATTGTTACTTTGTTTCGGTGGTAGTCCACCGAATCTGTTTCCATTTTTCAGGGGACTCCCACCGAATTTCTTTCGATTTTTCAGTGGTACTCCACCGAATATATATTCTTTTTTTCAGTGATTGTCCACCGAATTTATTTTCGTTTTTCAGTGATTATGTACCGAATACGTTACTAAGTGTGTACTTAATATTGTTTATTTTTAGATATGAAGAGGATTCGCAGGGGTACTACTGAAGCTTCATCATCCTGACCTAATAGACAGCGTCCCACGACCTTAGCGAGGAGACAGAGAACGGCTCCCCAAGATCACATTGAGGATAACTCTCGATCGGTGACAATAACACCAGGAAGACAATTATCATCCAACAAACTCCTCAATGCAGTCAATGCCCATATGTAATTGTCTTCCTTCTCGGCATTCATATACACATATGCAACAGAGAATGTCATATTAGTAGATGTCACCCCCACAATTTGTAATAGTGGGAAATGATACCTATTAGTCTTATAGGTGCAATCCATGATAAGTACATGTGAAAATGCACGCACAATATCAATATTAGTGGGGTGTGTCCAAAACAGGTCAGTTACAATATCACCAGATGTCCTATGCCACTCAATATAATTGTGTTCGGATAACTTAGTAAGCAATTGTTTCATTTGGGTTCTCCCAGCAAATTCTTTGGTTCTATTTCGGATCCTAGCATTGTATATTGTCTTCGTAGTTGAAACATTCATTGCATCTCTATCTTTAATGGTGACCAAAATATCTCTGGGTTTCACCAAACTCTTAGACATGTCCACCAACAAGGCATTCTCCTCTTCAGTAAGTCGCCACAAATGAATGACCTTGAAGATACTCTGAAATAGGATGGTTGTGTACTCCACAAACCACCTCCAACTTCCAATCATCCCCATCACCAATATTGACACCTTTTAACAAGAATGGGCATCCACATTTCTTGGTACCAGTGTCCCTAGCACATTTTTTCAAATCACTATTTGCATCCGACCTTATATCAGTTGTCTCACAATACTTGCAAGACTTATAGTTACCGTTCCTCTCACAAGCAAGTATTACACGAGGTCTCCTCTTGCCCTCACCTCCATAATTAGACCTTTTAATTACAATGACAATATTATTCAATTTTCCTTGTTCACGAGCCCATCGAAGTAATGCATCTCTACTATTGAATATCTACACATAAAACTCATATTATTTCAATATAAAATTTGAAACATTAATGCCACGTTAATGATACTAAAAAGAATTTCAGATAAATAATTACCGAATAAGTTGTGAATTGATCACTATAGTCCATTACACATTCTGTTCCCACATTGTTGCCTTCAGTAGGGGCGTCACCTTGTTTTTGTTCCTTCAATGGAAGTAAGATCAAAATAGCTTGGATTAAATTTGTGGTCGGCAATAAGTTACTGAAAAAATAAATAAATTTCGGTTGGATGCCACTGAAACGCAGGTAATATTTCGGTAGTATACCACTGAACTACGTTCCATCTTACGGTGGATCTCCACCGAATATTACGTTGCTGACCGGTCGAACCCTACCGAAAATGGTGCAACGTTTCGGTGGCATCCCACCGAATTTACCTGTCGCGTTCGGTACTGATGTGCTGAACGCAACCAGCGACTGTTACGAAATATTAAACTTGAAAAACGCCAAAAAATAAACTCGTACCTCATTCGAAGCCTCTCTAACTTCAATCTCACCCTTCATGAATAAATACAAGATATTTTTGCACCAGTATAAACGTATAAATCTAGGGTTTAGGGTTTAGGAACATGATAGTTTGAGAAAAAAACTCAAACTAGGGTTGCAGGAACATATGTGGGGTGTAGTGAGCAATTTTAATTTTAATTTTAAATTTTTTTGTCCTTAACGGTAATTGTGTACAAGTGTAAAATAGATTATTTATATTTTAAATTAGTATGAGGTGTAAAGAGCAAATAATGGGGTGCCAATAAAATCACCCTTTTTTTTTCCTTATATTTGATTTGTATAGGAATGGAAACAAATTTTGTTTAGTTTTTCAATTATACCCCAATTAGAAATATGAAATAAATAAAATAAAAAAGAATAGCAACAATCTTTGTTGTACAACAAAATTGTAATTCTAAATCGTTAATAAGGGCAAATTAGTAATGGAAAAAGCAGATTTAATGTTGACCTTGGTTTCCCATTAGTGTGGAAAATGAAACCCAAGGGTGATGGAGCAGTTTCCCCTCCTCTTTTCCCATGTGCCATGAAATCATATTTCTCATGTCAGGACTTACCAAACATGGGAAATCAATCCCCACTACATGAAAATGGGCCTTAGTTGACACTTCATAGTTGACGTTTTTGGCAAAACCATCACCTATTCTATGAAGCTTTGACATTTTTTTTAAAAGCATCAACTATATAGTAGGTTTTCATGACGATTTACAATAAACGTAACCTATATATCACTTTCCTTGACCTTTAATAAAGAACGTCAACTCTATATCACTTTTTCTTGACATTTTTAAAAAAAAATAAAACCCTTGTAAAAAAACCCTTGACACTTTCTTAAAAACACCCTTAGGGAAAAGAGAAAAAAGACAAAAGCTGACACTTTAAACAAAAAAAAAAAAAAAAAAAACAAAACAATGGTTCTTCTTCAATCAAAGTAAAACTCTCTTTCTACTACCAATGGAAAAAAACATTCCCCTTCTAAACAGAAAAACTGGAATAGACCTCCTGGCCTGAAATGATCAAATTGCTTTTCCTTGTTCTTCTAAGCTAAAAATTAAGATCTCTAATACTTCCTGCTTCTAAGAACAAGAAAATCTCCAACCAAAGAATGGAATCAAAGGACAAAAAATATTCAATGTTATATCCCGGGATCGGTTCCGCCGTAGCACGATATTGTCCGCTTTGGGCCCCTCTCTATGCCCTCACGGTTTTGTTTATGTGAACTCACAAGTAACTTCCCAGTGGGTCACCCATCCTGGGATTGCTCTAGCCCCAACTCACTTCACTTCGGAGATCCCATGACTCTGAAGCCAAGTGAGCTCTCAAAAAGCCTCGTGCTAGATGGAGGTGGGCATGTATATATAAGACACATCACCCCCTCTCCGTTGGTCGATGTGGGATGTTACATTCAAGATACGGAGAAAAAAAGAAAAAAGTAGTGAACTGCAACCAAGATTAATCTCACATTGATTGCTCTATCTATTCCAGAAAATGGAAACACATTTGCTTTATTTTAATTTTTAATTTCAGAGACTGTAAGAGAGGTGTTATTTGAGTTTGAAATTAAAAGGAAAGAAAGAAACAAAGGAAGAAAATTAAATACACATAGGTTTATGTTAGTTTTAGAGTTGTCCAGCCCAAAGTCGATGTAATTATGGAACTACCTGAGCTTTTAGAGTTAGAGAAGAAAGAAAAACAATTGAATTATGTGTGATTGAAAAAGCTTTCGTATGTGTGATTGAAAATAAAATTGGAGTTTATAAGTTTTTAAGTTTTTAAGTTTAGGTTTCTGGGTCCTAATTTCTAAAGAACATAGTGAGAGAAAGATGTTGACTTCGAGTTTGTTTGGTGGGTTGAGTATAAAGATGGGTGTGGATATCGGAAAAAAAAAAGGGTGTGGGTGCAGGTAAGAGAGAAATAGAGAGTCGTATATGTCCTTAGAAGTTATTTTATAAATAGGTAAATTTGTCTTAAAATTTTTGAAAATAATATGGGTAAAAAAATAGGACATGTGTGAAGAAATAGAAGAGCAATAGCAAAAAAAAAAAAAAAAAAAAAAAAAAAAAAAAAAAAACTTAGAGTTGTTTTTAAGAAAAGCGAGTTTTGATTAATTAAAGACCTGCTAGGGCAGACGGGCCAGTGGCCGTCAATATTTGATTGTAAGATGTGAATATAATAAGGGAGTTTCACTAAAACACCCAAAATGGGGGTTAAAATTATAAAAAAACCCAAGCACTATTTAAACATATAAACACACCCAAAACCCATCATTACACACACTCAAATCCATTTATAAACACACCCAAAAAGTTGACTTTGGGGTTGATGTTGGGTGTGTTTCTATGTTTAAATAGTGCTTTGGTTTTTTTATAAATACATGTCTAGGATTGGGTTTATTTATAAATTTGTAATATAATAATGCACATTGGCATTTGTTAAAGCTAAGATTAATTACCCACTGACAAAAAAGAAAAAAAGACTAATTACCCAACAAAACAAAAAGACAAGATTAACAATGTAGATTAGTGGGATTATTTGTTGGACTTTCACATTTTCTTTCTCTAATTCGTTTGAATATGATCCAATCTATATTGCCAGCTGCCAGCAAGAAAAAAGAAAACATCAACCACATCATCGCGGAAACATAAAATAGAAAGAAAGAAAGAAATAGCACGTTGACTAATTTTGAGTTTATAAAAGATGAAGTACGTGAACAATTTACTACATCTTTCTCAGAGTTTAGCTAGTTGTAGTTGAGTTTTGGTGGAACAATCTGTTTATCCCAAATCTCAATCTGTAGTTCTACAAATCCTCCTTGCATCCCTTCTTTAACTACCACTTCGAGCTTTGCTGAATTCAATACTCTCTCTGTCTACATAATCTTTAAAAGCGGTTAGTTGCAGTAAAATTGGTTGTGAAATACTTGTATTGATTTTCCAGACAAAATATATATATATATATATATATATATACAAGAATTTGAATTCAATTCTCCCTATCTCACAATCGTACATAGTGCATAATTGTTTATTTTGTAAGTTGATTTGATTTCCTTGCCACTGCAGCTTGTTTCAGCCTTTCGAGAGAGTACTTATCATGGAGAATGGTATACAGAATAGTACCAGGGACCATATTTCAGTTGTTATAGTAGACGGATATATTGGGCTCCAGGCATTGGAAAACACCATGAGAGCAAAGCTTTGCCCCGACTCATCCTCTTGGGCGGCAAAAGCTGCATCTTCAGAGTTCCAAAGGTGCTCAAGAGACATAAACCAGAGGCATACGAACCTGATTTTATCTCAATCGCTCCATTTCACCACAGAGCTGGTAAACAATTTCAGCACATGGAAAATGTGAAACAATGGTATTTAAATAATCTTTTATCACGCAGGAATAATGTGAGCTTGAAAAATTTAATCGATTGCGTCGTTCCGCTGGAGAAATTGGCCTGCGAATTTTATGCTGAACCACTTGATCATCTAAGCCAAAATGACTTGGTAGAAATGATGATACTTGATGGTTGCTTTGTAATTGAACCGTTCTGGAAGTACCCTTCTGATGAGGAACATATTGACGCAAATGACCCCATCTTCAACATGGATTTCATGTTCCAATATCTCTGCCACGACCTGTTGCTGCTAGAAAATCAGCTACCTTGGTTTGTTCTCCAGCATTTATATGACCTTACCCTCGACCCCAATGAACCTGATCGCTCCCTGTCATGCTCAGTCTTCACCTCACAAAAACCACTGAACCATAGCTGCGACTCCTAATGGATTTGTTACTTTGTTTATCTAGGAACTAGAATACCAGCTCCACCTATGGGATCAAATTACTACAAAATCAAGAATTGAATTCTTGATATTGTGTGGACGTGCACGTCTATGTTGCACAAACACTTTAATTAGCTGAAATATCTGAGTGTCGGACACTCAGACACGGCTCGGACATGCGTTAGACACAGTCAACAGACTTGGACACTGAAAATTAGAGAAACTACATAGAAGAATAATGTTGTGCGGAATGTCCCAGTATTGCCAAATCTTCACGGAAACATCAAGAGACAGTAAACGCCATAATTTATCTTTGTTATCAAACTGTAGCAAAATACTTTTTTGTTACTGTGCCTGAAAAAAATTGATTAATTGGAAGAGAAATGAAATTTACTTATAAATAAATGAAATCACGTTGTAGCACTAGAAACACGCATTATTAACTCAATTAAAGGCACAGTAACTTTTCATCTTCATTATTCTGGACAGTAATTCTTGCAAAGGTTCATGTGCTGTCACAAATTTATGTAGAAATGTTTCCAGCGGTGATTGTGAACTGTAGCAAAAGACCCTTTTATTACTCCCCTTCACTTTTTTCTTTTATTTTTGATGATTACTCCCCTTAACTTTTAAAGAAAATTAAATTGCCACCTTTCCGTCAGTGTTTGAAACCAAACCGCGCCATTCTTTCCTTCACAATTGTCTTGGCAGGATTGTATTCTTCCACATGGCCCCTTTGGTCCATCTCCAGCAGCGCCAAATAATTCTTCTTCTTGTGTAATTCGAGCATGTCCTTGATGTTTCTGATGCATTCTGGGTTGGGTCTAGCAGTGTAGCATGACAGTCTTTCCGCAATGTGCAATAAGTACTTGTCTTCCTCCTCGTGTGCCTTCCACTTCTTTTCCCCAGCAATGGGGATCCACACAGTCTTATAAACATCCACCTTCTCCTCTTTTATCCGCTCATTAACGTGCTTGATAAGTTTAATATGAGCTTCAGAAATATCCAATCTCGAAATGAACAAGAATAGTTTACAGCCGCTCAGTGTATCGAAATTCGTGGGATATTTCTAATTTGGACAAAACAAAACAAAACAAAAAAGCACAGTAATGGAACCAGTCTTTATCAGTAATATAAGAAAAGCAATGCAAAACTTTAGTAACATGCTAACCGGATTGGGAGTGTAGGCGTCAATGATCCATCCAACCGGAGCATCAAAACTTCTGAAAATGAAGTGTTCCAACTTCGCCGAAGGTTCAGATATCGTCACAAAGCCCGACTTTTGGTGAGCCACAAAGCCCCACTTTGGGAGAGCTTTAACTGTCGAAAGAAAAACAATTCAAAATAATAAATATGATAGATCTTTGGCAAGTGCAACTTTGTCCTGTGGGATTCCGATTTTCAAATTATGTTACCTGTCTACACCTTTTTATATCAATCATTACGACCATGGTGACACTAAAAAATCTATGGTATTTGTAAATCGTCCACCAGTAACCTTACCTCTCTTTAAATCCACCATGTCATCACCAAAATCCGTGTCAATACAGTTTCCGGAGGATTCTGATGGCCGAGTTATCCACCAGTCATAGGCCCCCAGGACGCTAGACATTGTCCAACCATCAGCAATGATGATCACCCTACGACCTTGGATAAGCACAGTCCATCCAATTTTACTATTTTTGTAGGACATAAGTTTTTTAACTTGTTTTACCACATGCTCATCATGACCAATCTGCTTACTGATAACCTTGATATGTGACATGGTTTCTATGGCCGACCAGAAGCTGCTAAAGCTGTCATCCTCTCCATCATTACTAGCGTTCTGCTTCACGTGATATAACTCAATTGAACTCTTTGCGATCTTTACGTCCATTGCTTTCTTCTTGAAGTGATTCGCCCACATTAAATCTCCTCCGTAGAAGAAAATGTACTTCTCCTCTTTGATCTAATTATGAAACAAGATGCAATAATAAAACCTCAGAAATTTGTTTTACCCTATATGCAAGCGTAATATATGGTGGAGACATCCAGAACACACAAAGACCTATATATATATATATATTATATACAGAGGACAAAAAAAAAAACTCTGAAGGACCCCATTCCATATGAAAAATTGTACAATACACCTACTATTGAATAAACCGTCGAAATACCCCAAACCGTCGAAATAACCAAACTGAACACAATACTCTGATTGGATCGATTTTATCTTAAAATTGTGATCAATTTAATCACTTTATAAAGATTTGATTCGGTTCATTTTTGACAAAAATCACGAAGGAAACTGAACACAAAAAAACCATTTTAAGACAGTTTAATTCGGTCGGTTTGGTCCTAGTCTAATTTTGTTTCCTTTTTGCATTTCTTCAATATTGTTAGCCTAATTACAAAAAAAATAAATTCACATACCCTTTTGTTTTTCATTTTCTAGTGTATCGAACCATCCTGAAAGTCAACATGCCATGCAAACATGGGCTTAGTCAAGTTGGCTAGACAGATATACTCCTTACTTTGCACCAGAGTTTGAATCTCCCCAGCCCGTACTTTAGATTAATTAAAGTAGAATATCGCTCGTATAAAAAAATACAAAAACAAAAAGTCAACATGCTACAAAACTTCAAAGTTCAAGACAATTTAAATATCAATAACTTCTAAGTTCCATCAAACTTCAATGAGTGGAATACACATGTATAATAAATTAAAAATAAATATAAACAATCAAGTTTAGTTTAAGAGCATCTCCAATAGTAGTAGCAAATAAAACTCTTCAAATTGAAGTTTGTTGACCTACGTGGAAATTTGAAAAGCCTTATTTGCTACTTGAATAATTTTTGCTTCAATAGACTCTTCAATTCACTTAATGCAATATCATGGAAAAGAGTGAAAAATATGAAAACATGTGCAAAATGTCTATGTATTTATTATATGGAAAAAAAAAAAGGCTTGTTTTTAACATTTTCAAGGTAGGTTTTGTTTTTCCAAAGTAAAATTGAATGTTTGAAGAGCCAAAGTTAACTTACCAGTCCTAAAGATAGAGAAAGAGGTTGCAACTTTGATGATTGAGGTTGAAGAGGCTGTTAGAGATGCTCCAAGCCGGTTTGCAAAAGCTCGAAACCAAATCAATTCTATAGGAAGTTTCTCTCCTTTAATGAAGAGTGACTAAGAGTATTGAGTCGTCGCCTATTAATGATGAGTCTTTTTTTTGGTCAATTTAATGATGAGTCTTTTTTTTTGGCTCAATTTAATGATGAGTCTTTAGGGCTCTAGTCTGTCTTATTGGTGTGGAGTTTGTATACCCATTAATTTCAGTAATTCCCCGCTTCTCTTTAAAAATTGACAAAACAAAGCCTTCTATATAAAGAGGGAGGGGGTTTCTCATCACACACAGATACCAAGGTGTTATGAGGGTTCGAACATGAAACCACTGATATGCAAGACTCTTTTTTCATTGGACTAGACCCCATTAGCAACTGTCATTACATGAAAGAAAGCAAATAATAAAAATATTCCTGCTTTGATTCTTGAACATAGAATACAATAGAGGAATATATCCACGTTATTGGGAAGGTCTTCTTAATTATGTTTTGCATTCACATTACAAGTCCTCATAACTATGTTTCTCGTTTTTGAAAATTGAACATGCTTGAATAATAAATATATGACATCTCATTAGCATACGTAGCCAAAGATATTGTCGCTTCAACCTAAACAATTTCATCTTTTTCTATGCATATCATTAGCATATTATTTTCTCCCCTACACCTGGCTGAATCTGGAAAAGCGATTTGCAAGTCTGACAAGATGCGAGATGTTTTGCATATATATACACCATTGACTAATACTAATTAACGTTGGCAATAATGGAAACGATGACGGTCGGTGGTGTTCATTGAGGTGGTGTTAATAATACATGTCACTGGAGAACTGTCTTCAATTTCTTTCGATGTGTAAGCTAATCTAACATCATATTCTATACATACATGTTCGTATGATTTTAAGTTCAATTTCCAGAACATGTGATAATGATTTTAAGTTCAATTTCTTTCGATATGTACCCTTGTTTTATTAAAGAAATGAAGGACTTTTGATCATGCTGCGCCAGACTGGCCAGTGGCAATGTTTGATTGTAACATGTGAAGATTTATAAATAAAAAAACATCAAGCAAGGAAAAAAAATAACATCAGCCTGATCCTCGAGGAGACATAAAATAAAAAGAAAGAAAGAAAGAGCTTGTTGACTATAATAGATGAAGTTCTTGAACAATTTTCCTACACCTTTCTTAGAGTCTAGCTAGTTGAGTTTTCCAGTTTCATATGGGCTGCAATAATCCTAGCCAGAATCAGTTTCTATGATGACCTCTTCGCGTTGCAGTTTCTACAAATCCTCCTTGCATCTTCGTTGCATACTGTGAACAATTTCCAGGTATTACAATTGGTTCCCTTTCCCTGTTGTCATTTTTTTCTTTTTAATCAAAATACGAAATGGGTTTAGATTACATGTTTATTTTATAATTAATTTGATTTCCTTTCCACTGCAGCTTTGTTTCAGCCTTTCGAGACTAAAGGTTATAATGGAGAATGGTACAGAAAGTAATACCAGAAACCATATTTCAGTTCCTATAGTAGACGGAGGTACTGGGCTTGAGGCATTGGAAAACACCATGAGAGCAAAGCTTTGCCCTGGTTCACCCTCCTGGGATGCCAAATGCTGCATCTTCAGAGTTCCCCAGTGTTTCCCTCTTTTCGGCCGGGTAGGCTGATTGAAGGAGTTTTTGGTCCTTCTTCTTTTTTGAGTGCGGGGCGTGCCACCACCAAGCCCCGAATTTGGGCTTGAATGGAATGTGAGTAGATGGATGTGTTGCGTCCGAGATCTGACTTTAATCAAACGATTGTTCGGCCGAGCAAGGAACCTCCTCACAACCTAGGTTCTTTCACTACCTCAGAGTCAAGGCTTTATGTGAGCAACCAAATGATGTGGAGTGGGTGGAGATGAAGATTGAAGGTGAAATGTAATGAAACGGATAACACGTGCATAAAGTAAAAGGTGCTTGAATTTAAATATAATTGAAAGACAAGTGCGAAAAGTAAAGTGCGTAAAATAAAGAATGTAAAGACAAGTGCGTAATTTAAAGTGCGTGAAATAAAGAATTTAAAGAAGAGTGCGTAATGTAAATTGCGTAAATTAAATAATTGAAATGTGAGTGGGTAAAGTAAAGGGCGGAAAGTAAACTAGATTACGAAGAACAGTAAAGAAACATGAATTGAAGTTACTGTAATTAAAATAGAATTGAAAAACAAGAACAAGAATGTAAAGGCATAATTGAAATCTACGGAAACTAGAACGGGAAAAATAAGAACTAGGCTATGGTTACATTATGCTACTCCTATGATAGAAATTGAAGAGAATGTAAAATGACAAGTTGTGTGTTGTGTCGGGGTCCCTTCTCTCTTCCATAAACTTGGTATTTATAGGGGCTTCGGTGCGTCTCAATTTGGTCGGTCGTCAATTGGCCTTCAAATCAATCATAATTGCTCCAAAATATCTTCAATCTCTTGTCTCATGCGTGTGATTTAATGTGAATAATAATATTTGATTTGATTTTCCTTCCATCTTGAGCTCTCCCACAATAACTTCAGTTGACCATCAAGTTGGGATAATTCCTTCCATATTTGAATTGTAACCTATGATAAAATCCTCTTACGGATTATCTCTCTCCTTATTTAAACATTGACTGATTTTATGTATTCGGCCACTTTTAGTCTTCCGACCGCCAGATTGGTGTACTCCACCACATGTAGATATTCTGCTACATTTATGATTTTGGGCTTCTATCCGACCTTATTGATTAGGCCCACCGAAATATAACTTGGGCTCACTATTAGCTTAATTATCGGATCTCAGGCTTTACTTGGTCAAATTTCAACCAGGCTCAAACACCCAGGTACTCAAAAGACATAAACAATAAGAGGCATACGAACCTGATTTTGTCTCAATCGGTCCATTTCACCATGGAGGTAAACAATTTCAACACATGGAAAATGTGAAACAGTGGTATTTAAATAATCTTTTGTCATGTGGAACAAATGTGAGCTTGAAAGACTTAATTGATTGCGTCTTTAAGCTAGAGAAATCCACCCGCGGATTTTATGCTGAACCGCTTGATCATCTGAGCCAGAATGACTTGGTAGAAATGATGATACTTGATGGTTGCTTTGTAATTGAATTGTTCCGGAATTTTGTGGTACGACAAACTTCTGATGAGAATCATGTTGACGGAAATGACCCCATCTTCAGAATGGATTGCATGTTCCAATATCCATGCCATGACCTGTTGCTGCTTGAAAATCAGTTACCTTAGTTTGTCCTGGAGCATTTATATAACCGTACCCCCGACCCTGAACCCAAAAAATATAGTCCCTCCCTCACTATCCTCATGCTCACAGCCTTCACCTCACAAAAACCACTGAACCACAACTGCGACTCCTATCTAGGGTATGTTCATGAGAACAAGCATGACACAAATTACAATACTTTGCACATACTTGATCTGATAAGACCTGGTGTTTTTGTCCCCTTCCTTTAACCAAGCAACCCTGGAATGCTGCCTCTACATTACCTCCTCTTTCTCGAGTAAGACAACAATGGTCCTCTCTACTTTTTTCTTTAGTAACACTTGATCTTGCCCATTCGCCCTTGTAAAACCTCAAGTTCCTTAATGTTTTTGATCTTGTCCCATTTGCCCCTGTAAAACCTCAAGTTCCTTAATGTTTTTTCTTTAGTAACACTTGGACGACCTTTGCAAACGAGTTACTATTATTTTGAATAATGATAGACGGGAAGTTATCGTCTACCTTTAGTTAAGTTGGCAATGCGTGTTTCTAGCAAGTTGATACAAGGTCAGAGAACAAATAATTTTGTTAGAATATTGTTTTAATATATATATATATATATATATTTCGCCTAATATGGTGGTCGTCATGGTCGTGGTCGTGGTGAGGATGGCGAAGGTGGGAGTGGCAGTGACGATGGTGGTAGAGGCAATGGATGTGGCGGTGGTAATGGTGGCAGTGATGGTGGCGGTGGTGGTGACAGTGGAGGTGATGGTAAGAGTGGTATTGGTTGTGGTGGTGGAGGTGGTGGTGGAGGTTGTGGGGGTGGTGATGATTAGGCTATAATGGTGGCAGCTGTGGTGGTAGTGTAGGTGGTGGTTTTAGCCTACACCTCAGACCACCTGATTAAAGCTCTTTTGCCCATGTGCTGTTAGTTATATATTTTGAGCTGGCATGTTAGTTACGATTACTAGTTAGTTGGTAGTCTGTTAAGTTAATCAGCTGGTTAGTGTTAATTAAGCTACTGATCTACATGTATGTATATATAAGCTGGTACTGTTTCTTTGAGATAATAATGGAAAAACATTCCTTCAATATCAAATCTCTCTCTCGAACTCTCTCTTCTACCTTCTGTGATTGCTAAGCTTGATTGAGCTCTTTAATGGAGTCCTAGAGGAAAGCTTTCATGGTATCAGAGCTTCCTCTCTGATTATCATTGATTGATTTTCTTTTCTTTCTCTTTTCTTTCACTGCTCAGTTCTTCGATCCTTACTCTGCTTCGTTTCTCTTTGCGATTTTCTAGCTTTCTTCTCTACTTCCTGCTCTTTCGTCTCTGTTTGCTTCGATCTAGTCTCTTCACTTTGATTTCGTCTTTGTTTCTTGCAATTGCTTCTTCTGTACTTGCTTTCTCAAGTTCAATTTCAGTTTCTGTGAACCCTAACTTTTGGGGAAAATGGTGAAAAGTTCTGTAACTCCAGTTGACTTACTTCGCAATGCCTGCAATACGTCACGTTGAAACTAGATGAGACTAATTATGTTAAATGGAGTTATTAGGTTGAGAAATTTCTCAAGGTTCATCGTCTCTCTGGTTTTCTCGATGGTACGGCTATTGGTCCGGTTGAGTCTGACGAAGAGAGTTCTTTTGAATGGGAAGCAATGGACACTGCGGACTTGAATTTGATTGTTGCAAGTTTGTCTGATGATGCATTTTCTGAAATGATCAATTGTCGATATGCTGTAGAGGCATGGAGCACATTGAAAGATCGTTACTATTCGTTCTCTTAGCTTAAAGTCATGCATCTTAAGAACACTCTACATGGAATGCAGAAAGGTACTGATTCTATTGATGTTTACTGGAAGAAAATTCGTACGGCTCGTCAACAATTGTCAGCAGCTGGTCATTCTATATTTGATTTTGATTATTCTCAAAGGTCTTCCAATAGAGTATAATCATTTCAAATCACATATTCGTACCAGACCAGTGCATGTTACTCTAGTAGAGTTGCGTGATCTTCTTCTTAAAGAAGAAAGTGATTTAGATGCAGCTTCTAAGTCATTTCCTCCCTCAATCATGACTACAATGGTTGCTCATAAGGGAAATTCTCCATCATCACCACATGTTGCTCACGGTGATAACTTGGCTTCTTATTCTACAGATCATGGAGGTGGTCATCCCAATTGGCAAGGTGTTAATAACTCTCCTAATTGGCAATCCAACTGGAATCGCCGGCCGAATTATCGTGGTCGTGGTTCTTGGTCTCGTGGCCGCACTTAGAATAATGGTGGTCGAGGAGGTTCTTGGCATGCTGGTGGTAATAGTGGTTCTTGGACTGGTCCACCTAATTCTGGTCTGTGGCACCATGGTGGTCAGTGGAACAATAGTTCTGGCCAGTGGAACCATGGTAATTCTGGTCAATGGAACAATGGTCATTCTAGTCCAATGAACAATGGTGGTCAGTGGCCTAATGGTAATAGTTCATGGAGTCATGGTTCTGGTACCAATTCGACTCAGTACTTTGTTCCACCAAATCCAAGTCCTGGTATCTTATCACCTTTACCCACTGCTCCACCTAGCTGTGTTTCTTCTTCAACACGTCATGAGACTTGTCAACTGTGCTTACAATTTGGGCACACTGCTCCAAATTGTCCACATTGCCACAATTATTCCTAAGTCTCGCCTCCTTCACCAGCTCTCACTGCGCTTACTACCACTTTTACTGGTCAATTCACTAATCCTAATATTTAGTTGACAGACAGTGGGGCAAACAATCACATGGCATCTGATCTGCAACTTCTTTCTAATGTTACACCGTCAACCACCAATGATAATGTCACCATAGGTAATGGTACTGGACTGGACATAGCTCATATAGGTAGTTCTTCCCTTGTGTCTGGTCATCAAGTCTTTACTTTGCCTGAGGTTTTACATGTTCCACATCTTACTACTAATCTCCTATCTGTGCATCGTTTTTGTCTTGATAATAATTGCCAACTTCTTTATAATGCCTTTTGGTTCCAAATACATGATTTGAAGGGGAGAATTCTGTATCACAGAAAGTGACTTAATGGCCTTTATCCTCTCCCAACAAGGACTCTTCCTACCTTACCACCTATGGCTGCTTTTCACGGACAGAAAGTTAGTCATACCCTTTGGCATTAGGCCATCCATCGAATGAAATAACTAGCTCTATGTTAGCTAAGATTCATATACCTCTATCCCCTAGCTCTTCTCACGTTTGTAGTTACTGCTTGCAAGGTAAGATGTGTAAACAACCTTTTTCTTCTACGCATATTGTATCTCAAATTCCTTTTGAGGTGATACACTCCGATGTTTGGGGTCCTACTCCTTATCCATCTCTTCATGGTCATAAATGCTATGTCATACACTACTACGTTTCACCATTTGCGCGACGAAAGATTGCGCGACGAAGAATAAGTCGTCGCGCAAAACATATTGGCGCAACGAAAGAAAATATTCGTCGCGCAATCCACTGAAAATTTGCGCGACCAAAAAAATCATCGTCGCGCAAACAGAGTTAAAAAAAGCAGGGTGTAATTTTTTTAGCGCGAAACATTTGTGCGACGAGAAATATCGTCGCGTAAGACAACCTTGCGCGACGGTACATTGATTCGTCGCGCAAAAACGGATAGAACCCAGTGGGTCCCTTTATTTGGCGGTAAAAACTTGTGCGACGAAATTCTTCGTCGCACAAGACAGCTTAGCGCGACGGGAAGATTTTTCGTTGCGTAAGAGAACGAGGGATATTTTATTTTTGGCGCCAAAATTACCTGGTTGGGACTTTTTTTTTTGCGCGACGTACGTACTGATCGTCGCGTAAAGTTCCAAGTTTGCGCGACGAATAGCTTGTTTTGCGCGACAATATTGCGTGACGAAAGGTTGCGCGACGGAAAATACCAGCGTCGCGCAAAAGTTAGATGTCGGCAGGTGATTGCGCGACGAAAAAAAGGGTTTGCGTGACGGACGATTTGGTTTTTTGCTACGGAAGTTTGCGCGACGAACTTATATATTCGTCGCGCAAAGTCCTTCTTCTTCATATTAGAATTCTGCCATTGCAGAGGCAGAATGCAAAAACAAAGCATTCTGCCTCTGCCTCTCTCTCAACCTCTCTGCCGCTGCTGGGACTTCAATACATTGATTGGGTAAATATTTTTCGTCATTAGTTTAAAAGTATTAATTTAAGTTCGTACTAAGGTTTTTTATTTTGTTTTCGTTAGGGATATTTGTAATTAGCGATTGGTGGAGAACGATTGAGAAGGTATTTTATTCGTTTTATATATTAATAATGTTAATTTGTTATGTTTAAAATTTTCTTGTGAAGTTATATTTATATTATGTTGTTAAATTGTGTGTAACGTAGCACAATCTGTTGTGATGTACGAAGTTAATTGAAATTAACTTCGTGCTTTTATTTTTATGTTTAGTAACACTTAGTTTCCCGTTCGAGATTAGTTGGATTTCGTGCATGGATGCGTAATGCATGACTGCGGTCCAATTAATTCTTGAATTGTCCCATTATTTGGACAGTTTGGTAATGCATAGTGTTGTCACGTAATCTATGGCTACAGGATTAGGTTTCGATTGTGGATATTTCGATGTCATCTCGGTACGTTCTTTGGGTGGTACGTAGGTATTTATACCTATGGCCACCTCAAGAACTGTAGCGAGATGCTGGTGAAATTCATCCACGTCGAAATCTAATCTCATGTAGTCGTAGGTTACGTGGCAGGAGTATGCATTCCCGAATGGGATAGGACCCTTACCGGAGGCATAAGGTGACATTATAACTTCGTATGAAGTTGTTGTGATTGTTGTGTTGTGATTCTGGTTTCAGGAATTATGGACAGAAGGTGGATACAGAACCCGAACAGATGCGCAGACGAATACTTGGATGGAATCGAGGATTTTATTGAGTTTGCACGTAGACACAACCCGGGTGCAACTAGAATCTGTTGTCCTTGTAGGAGATGCAACAACACGTTGTGGGAGACAATTGAAAATGTTGGATTTCATTTAGTAAGGAATGAAATGATTGAGACATATAGCATTTGGAACCTTCACGGGGAACAATTAGAGCATGCTTCGTCTTCAAATGCCACAAGAGTGGACAATGTTCAACCTATTGTGGATGCTAATGATCAAGTCATGGATATTATACATGATGTTTTTCCATTTGCATCGACCAACATGAATCAAGAAGAGCAAGATGATGTGCCTACACCAATAGACAGTGCGGAGTTTGAACAATATGAAAAATTGTTAAAAAATGTCAACCAAGAGTTATACCCAGGGTGCGAGAGCTTTTCCGTTCTCACGGCCATTATGGAGCTAATGCACGGAAAAATAAAGTATCGTATGCGAACCTGTGTTTCGATTACTTTTTGGGGGTTTTCAAGAGAATGCTTCCGACGGACAATTGTTTGCCGAAAGACCATAAACAGGCGCAGAAGGTGTTGAATGGTCTTGGATTGGGTTATGAAAAAATCCATGCTTGCAAAAACAATTGCATGTTATTCTACAAAGAGCATGAATCGTTGGATACATGTCCTATATGCAATGAGTCGAGGTTCAAGATGACATCTCAGAATAGGACGACTAAGATCCCACAAAAAGTCATGCGTTATTTGCCCCTAAAACCTAGGTTGCAGCGATTGTATATGTCGACGCATACTGCCACAGACATGAGATGACATAAGGAAAAACGGGTAGACGATGATGTGATGCGGCATCCTGCAGATGGGGAGGCATGGAAAGAGTTCGATCGAACGTTCCCCGAGTTTGCTGCTGATCCCCGAAATGTTAGATTGGGACTTGCCACTGACGGATTCAATCCGTATGGGGTTCTAAACCAACACCACAGCACTTGGGCGATTTTCGTATTCCCATATAATTTGCCGCCTTGGAAATGCATGAAAAAAGAATACATGATGATGACTGTTTTGATAACTGAGGATCCTGGGAGGTCAATTGATGTTTACTTAAGGCCGCTGGTTGATGAGCTGAAGGATTATGGACAAACGGTGTTCACACGTACGATAAATCAACTGGGAAGATGTTCACTTTGCGGGCAGCAGTTATGTGGACTGTGAATGATTTCCCAGCATATGCAATGGTTTCTGGGTGGAGCACAAAAGGTTATATGGCATGTCCTGTATGCAAGGAAGATGTAACTTCTGGTTGGCACGCTGGAAAAGTTTGTTACCTTGGTCATCGGATATGGCTGCCATGGGACCATGAGTGGAGGGAAAAAGATAAAGAGTTCGACGGGAACACAGAGCGTCGCCTTAGACCCAGAGAATGGTCCAGTGATGAGATATTGGACCAGCTTAACCGGTTGGATTTTGCTACCTTCGGGAAAACAGTTAGTCGTATCAGACCTTCTACACATATGAACTGGACGCACAAGCCTATGTTTTTTGAGCTCCCATATTGGTCGAAACTAAAATTGAGGCACAATCTAGATGTGATGCATGTTGAGAAAAATGTATTCGACACATTGGTGGGCACGATTCTAGATATCGAGGGGAAGACAAAGGACACGATCAAAGCTCGTCTTGATTTGGAAAGAATGGGCATACGAAGGGGTTTATGGATGAATAGGGACAATGATAAAGCTAGAAGGGATCTTGCATTCTTTTCTATGAAACCGAATGACAAGAAAGAGTTTCTAAAGTTTGTATCGTCAGTAAAGTTTCCCGATGGGTATGCTTCTAATATCGCACGTTGTGTGAATGTTGACGGGGGTAAATTTACTGGACTTAAGAGCCATGACTGCCATGTGTTTATGCAACGCCTACTTCCTGTTGGTATTCGACACCTATTGCCGGAAGATGTAGTGAAGCCAATCATTTTGTTGTCCAGATTTTTTTCCCAACTGACGGCAAAAACTTTGCGAAAAACGGACATGTTTCAGTTGCGCCATGACATTGTCCAAGTCCTATGCAAGTTTGAGATGATATTTCCTCCAGCTTTCTTCACAAGTATGATGCACGTGATAGTTCACTTGCCAGAAGAGGCATTGCTTGCTGGTCCTGTCAACTATCGCTGGATGTATCCAATAGAAAGGTATATAATCCTTATCGTTTGTGTATGCATCTTGCTAATTTGTATCATATCGTTTTATTTTGGCAGACTTCTCGGAGAGCTGAAAAAAAGTGTACGCAACAGGGCGAAGCCTGAAGGATCAATCGTAGAGGCTTGGGTTCAATATGAGTCGCTTACTTTCTGTGGAATGTATTTAAAAGATGTGGAGACGATTTTCAATCGTCCTCAGCGCAATCATGACGGAGGTATGAGAAATGAAAAACTTTCTGTTTTTGCCCAAAGTGCACGACCCTTTGGAGATCCTGGACGCGGAGAGTCGTTTTCTAGAAATGACATGGAGGTAGCGCATTGGTTCGTACTGAACAATTGTGATGAGATCATGGGATACTTATATGAGCATGAATAGATGATGAAGCGAGAACATCCATCACATTTGGTTGCCCAGAAACACCGTGAATTGTTTCCACAATGGTTTTTGGATTCTGTAAGTTATCAGTGTTTGTTATTTGAGAAATATAAATTGTAGTTTTTAATTTTGTCAGACTAACATATGAATGGTTTTGTATAATATTAGGTGAATAAGTTGAAATCATCGAATTCCCCAACTTACAGTGATGAGTTATATAACTTGGCGTTCGGCCCGATTCGCGCTGAATTGTTCTCGGGTTGTAATGTCAACGGCGTCAAATTTTTGGGCGAAGCACGAGATGACAAGTTGTGTACGCAAAACAGCGGTGTCCATGTCCCAGGTGGAGGCGAAAGTACGGACATTGATTTCTATGGCAAACTCACAACTGTCGTGCAATGGCTTTATAAAGATCGATACCAAGTGATCATGTTTAAGTGTCGATGGTTTGACACCAACCCAAATAGGCCGGGAAGTGTTAAAATCGATCATGGCTTACTATCTGTGAACATGAACAGAACTTGGTATGATGACGACCCTTATATTTTGGCAAACATGGCAACACAAATTGTGTATCTAGATGACCCTAAAGCCGAAAGCGGTTGGAACGTTGTTCAAAAGATGGATCACAGGAATGTGTATGCTATACCAGAACTAGACCCAACTGACAACGACGTCGACAATGTGGCTGACCAACGTTTAGAATCTTCAATGGAAAATGATGCGGAAACACTTCGAGATACTAATGTTATACAAGAGCCATTTGAAATACAAGGAGTGTCTTCAATCGAAATACCGATTCAGTCAATTACGATTGACCTCGGTGATCTTCCGTGATACGATGTTGCAGTTGGCCCGAGCAACGACGATGATGTAGTTATAGACGAGGCGGAGGAGGAGGAGGAGGAAGAGGATTGGGAGACCGAAAGTGATGATAGCGATGATAACGAAAGTTATTATAGTTCAGATGATGAATGATGAATTTTTTTTGTAATTTTATTATGTTAGTGGACATATTTTGTGTAATGCAAATGTTTTCATATATGTACTTGTTATATCCAAACATTATATATGTGCAGAAATGAAACAATATTAAAATAAATGTAGTTATAAACCATTGGTAAATAAATATATCCAAGTAATTTTAATAATAAAGTTTAAATTTATTTTGACAAAAAACTTTTAAAAAATGAAAACCATATAACCGAAAAAATGAATACAAAGAAAATAAGATTATCAACAATCCTTCAATTCTCAAATCAAAAGAAAATAGAATAAATCATACTTTCATACAATTAATTATATGTAATGATGAATAATTCAGCTTAATAATATGTGAATGAAAATAACCTTGCGCGACGAAGGCATAATTGTCGCGCATATTTTGCGCGACGGAAAACGTACACGTCGCGCATACTCTATTATTTGCGCGACAAATAATTCCGTCACGCAAGTAACTTTTGCGCGACGGAAAATGTACACGTCGCGCATACTCTATTATTTGCGCGACAAATAATTCCATCGCGCAAGTAACTTTTGCGCTACGAAAAAAAAGACCTCGTCGCGCAAACATATACATATATATATTTATGATATATACACACGTATATATTTGAAATTGACGATCGAAGTAGTTCACTGTATTCACATAGGGTTAAACAGTGTAGCTGTAAAAAATCATCAAAATCAGAGTCAAAATAACCGTTAAATCATGACTTTTCGTTTATAACCGTCGAAACGTTTTGTCCCGTTACTTGATCTCTGAATGTTTTTTTTTTCTCATTTTCGACGTATACGATCTCGAAGTATAAACAAACATATTTGACGGCTGGATTACTGAAACTAGTTTCCTAGAATACGTATTCCATCAAAACACAATATTCATAAAAAATGAAGAATTTATTTATACATTCATTCAGTATAACATAAGATTATGTGATGTCCTGTACTGTAAATATCTGAAATTGAAGATCGAATAACATCTCTGTATTCATATAGGGTCAAGAACCGCAGCTGTAAAAAATTTTTTGGAGCTATTTTTATAAGAGAAGTTCATTTCAAACCCTATTTCGGCTTTCTTTTCATTTTATTTTATTTTATTTTTTTTCTCCACGCACCGGCGCGGGATTTCCACCTACCCCCGAGTCCAGGGCGTGACAATGGTCATCAAAGAAACAAGAGACTGTGGCTCAATCATCAGCAGAAGCCGAGTACGTAGCAGCAGCAAGTTCAACATGTCAAGCTATTTGGCTTAAAAGAATATTTGAAGATATGGGAGAGTGCCAAATAGAAACTACTGAAATACTTTGTGACAACAAATTTGCTATACCAATGGCGAAGAATCCTGTATTCCACAGCAAGACAAAGCATATCGCCATCAAGCATCACTTCTTACGAGAAGTCTCAGCAAGGTTGAACTCAAGTATTGCAAGACAGAGGAGCAAATCGCAGACATTTTCACTAAGGCACTTCCAAGACTAAAATTCGAACTGCTACGAAACATGCACGGAGTGACACAAATGTGCATTATGGAGGAGTGTTAAAAAAATAATGCACACTTGTACTAGAATAATATAGAAAAGCTTTGAATAATATAGAAAAGTCTAGAAAAATTGAGAAAAGATGACAAGTCAAATTTGAGCTCTACACTAGAAACATCCTATTAATGTATTGTAACTAGACTATTCTAGGCTCATGTTATAACTAGTGGCTGAAAAATATTTTGAGATGTCGGTTACTATGCAATACCGACTTCACTAAATATTTGCCATCCTTTAAGTCGGTTCAGCTACTCTATATATAGCTATAGCAGCCTAATTATGTATTCAAGTTAGAAAAAGCTGAATAACGACAGCTGTCTAAACCCCCATCAGCCACCTCTTGTATCCAACTATCTCTCAAGCTCTTGTACCCTTCTTATTTCAATCAATAAAATAAAATAATCTTTTAACTCTTTCAAAAGCTTTCTATTCATCATCAAGCTATTATCCTAAGCCTCTATTCTCCCTAGAACTAACACACATGAACCTTAGCAAGAATTACTGTCCAGAATAATGAAGATGAAAAGTTACTGTGCCTTTAATTGAGTTAGTAATGCGTGTTTCTAGTGCTACAACGTGATTTCATTTATTTATAAGTAAATTTCATTTCCCTTCTAATTAATCAATTTTTTTCAGGCACAGTAACAAAAAAGTATTTTGCTAGAGTTTGATAACAAAGATAAATTATGGCGTTTACTGTCTCTTGATGTGTCCGTGAAGATTTGGCAATACTGGGACATTCCGCACAACATTATTCTTCTATATAATTTCTCTAATTTTCCGTGTCCAAGTTTGTTTACTATATCCAACGCATGTCCGAGCCATGTCTGAGTGTCCGACACTCAGACATTTCAGCTAATTAAAGTGTTTGTGCAACATAGACGTGCACGTCTACACAATATCAAGAATTCAATTCTTGATTTTGGAGGAATATGATCCCATAGATGAAGCTGGTATTCTAGTTCCTAGAGAAACAAAGTAACAACCCATTAGGAGTGCATTTTGAACCCATTATACCTCACACTATTTTTGAAATTCCGAAATTTCAAATTTGCCCATTCACTTCACTATTAACATATAGTCAGTACATGAAAATGTTTAGATAAAACGAACCATAAACAATTATCCCGCTAAGCTACTTACTGCGAATGGTGTACACGGTCTGCACTAGAGTGAGAGCCAGAAGTATAGCAGCCGCAATCAGAGAAATCGCACTCCAAGGGTTTGCAAAATAGTCCGCGGTTAAACTTTTCAAGCCACCTGTACCATTTAATCTGGTAATGCATATTCACTTCATCGCAGAGTATAGTAGAACCTGTTTACACCATAATCAACCGAGCATATCCGGCATCAAAGCAACAGCACCAAGAGCATCAACACCGTGACATGTGTCACCACCACAGTGACTTGCAAGAGTCCCACATCGAAGTACTTCTCCGTGGACGTATTCATTAAGGGGTGAACCACGTATATCTTGTCTTCTTCACATTTATCGCTTGCCCAAGTCTTTACATATATGCTTAAGGTCCTCACCTTCCTCCATCATCCATCACACCTCATCACTAACTTGGACTCAATCTTGGCCCAACCATTTTGAGCATCAACAGAACCTTTTCAGAACGGTGTCATTGCAGAGCCTGCTAAAGTAGTTTGGCGCCATCTTCAGCGTTCAACCAGTTATCTATGATCCGTTTCTCGCAAAGAAACTCCATGTTCTTGCTTGAAGCGACGAGTTTATTCATCAAGAATGCATAAGACGTTATTTCATGTGAATGGTGATAGTAGCATTGCTCAAAGGCAATGAGGTTCCTCAACAGTGGATCTGTCAACTCCCCAATTGATAGACGTGGAATTTTAAAAGTACCCCTTTTGTATCCATATAACGCAAGACCCCCCTTTTCAAGTCAATGTTCATTATGCTGCCAGCAGAAACGCTACGAAATTTAACGCCTGCCTGCGCTAGAGCAGTTGCAGGAGGAAACTCCGAGTCCATATCGGTCCCTAATTTATTATTATTGCTCTTTCTTCTTCTTCTTTTAGGTGTGCAGAAAGTTTTCTTTTTTTCCCTCTTTTTCTCTTCTCTCCTTTTCTTTTATGTGATCTTGGAATGGAAAACTATCGAATTCTTATTAGATCGAGTACGTGCAAAGTTTCGTAATTTTGTCATGCTTGTCCTCGTAAACAGTGGCGGATCCAGGATTCAAAAGTCAGGTAGGCGAAACTTACCTTAAAACTCGACGGTACGAGTGAATTTCATTCATAAAAATAAAAAGATACACCTAGTCCAGGAGAGCGTAATGAGATTTACCCTTAAATGTAAAAACAAAAAAAAAAAAAAAAAAAAAAAAAAAACTAAAAAAAAAAAATACAATGCAACAAAAAAAAACTATTTAAATCTAAAACTAAAGGGTAAACTACAGTAAATCCCCCAACTTATAGGGTCATTTACGAGTCCATACCCGATTTTGGGGATATTTATGGGTACATACTCAACGTCACGGAAAAACTTACAAATTGCCCCCTCCGTTAGCGAAACTGTTAGTCAGTTTGTTAAATGCTGATGTGTCCAAAAATGGAACCCTTTTTTGATGACGTTGGACTTCCACGTGGATAAAAAAATTAATAAAAAAATTAGTTTACTGTTTAACTCATATTAAAATCATTAAAAAATTTAAAAAAAATCCCATCTCTCTTCTCCAGCCAACCCTCTCTCCTTCCCGACTCAACCCGACCTCTCAACCACCACTCTCCCGTCGCCGCCCAAAGAACCACCCAGCCGTCTCCACGCCACTCCTTTCTCCCTCTCTCCAATGAAATTTTCATTTGCAATTTCATGTTTTCTTCCTCAGCATTCTAAGCAACCAAACAAAGGGTCAAAGAATACACATTAACCAAACAGAAGCATAAAAAATGATCCTTTTTCGATCCAGACTTGGATAATCAAATCTGTATAGTACCCATGTAGCTAAATTTCTCAGGCAGCCAAGAGAATCCAAAAAAGAAATGAAAATGCGATTCCAAGATCCAAAAAAACCCAAAATTTTAAAAAAAGAAAAAAAAAAAGAGAATGTGGATCCAAACCTTTCTTGGCCGACGGTGTCCCAAATATGAGCCTTGACGACCTTATCATCGACCCGAATGCTTCTGGTAGCGAACTCGACGCCAATGGTGGACTTTGATTCAAGGCTGAACTCGTTCCTCGTGAACCTGGACAAAAGGTTCGATTTTCTGACCCTTGAGTCACCGATCAAAACCACCTTGAACAAGTAATCATAATCGTCGTCTGCTCTGTATGCCCCCATCTCCTTGCAGAAAATATATTTTAGTTTTTACCTTGAACGAGTTGGATTGATGGGTAAATGGGTTTTGGAATTATGTTGTATAAATATTAAGAAGCATGGCGGTCTATGTCTGTATGTGAGTTATGGTGGTGAATGGGTTTTGTTTGATTTCGAGAGAAATAGAAAAATGGAGGTTGAGAAGGAGAAAGGAGTGGCGTGGAGATGGCTGGGTGGTTCTTTGGGCGGCGACGGGAGAGTGGTGGTTGAGAGGTCGGGTTGAGTCGGGAAGGAGAGAGGGTTGGCTGGAGAAGAGAGATGGGATTTTTTTTAAATTTTTTTAAATTTTTTTTAATGATTTTAATATGATTTAAACAGTGAACTAATTTTTTATTAATTTTTTATCCACATGGAAGTCCACGTCATCAGAAAAAAGGGTCCCATTTTTGACACGTCAACATTTAACAGACTGACTAACAGTTTCGCTAACGGATGGGGCAATCTGTAGTTTTTTCGTGACGTTGAGTATGTACCCATAAATGTCCCCAAAATCAGGTATGGACTTGTAAATGACCCTATAAGTTGGGGGGTTTACTGTAGTTTACTCAAAGTAAATTAAACTATTAAAAAACTTAAGATGCTTACATTTATTTTAGGAAAAAGCCAATAGAAGAATACTTATTGGCCTTAGATATGAGAAAATGCTACCAAGAGAGAATGTCAAAACTCAAGAAGAAGCTGCAAAAGATAATGATTTGGGACTGTCGACTATTACACAGCCAAAAGAGAATTGGCTACTTACTTATATTGCTTCCCCCCCTTTTCTTTTTTTAAGTTTGACTGGGCCATATAACACGTGGGTTGCCCTTAAGTTTGGGTAGGCATGGGTTCACACCATTACATGGGATGGGTAGGAATAGCTTTGCTTACATATAGGTTTTTTTTCTTGAGAAAAAATTTGGGTAGGCAGCTGCCTACCCTACCCTTGCTGTAGAACCGCTCATGCTTGTAAACATACCCTAGATAGGAGTCGCAGCTATGGTTCAGTGGTTTTTGTGAAGTGAAGACTGTGAGCTCGACAATAGTGAGGGAGCGATCAGGTTCATTGGGGTCGAGGGTACGGTCATATAAATGCTGGAGAACAAACCAACTAGCTGATTTTCTAGCACCAACAGGTCGTGACAGAGATATTGGTGTTGGAAACAATCAATATAAAACCAAAATAACAGAATAATAAAAACCAACGAATATATTTTATATAGATATAATTGAATCAATACAGCAATAATATAGATTGTAGAATACTGACTTGAATTGTAGATAGAGTCCTGCAGATTTGCAGTGTCCTTTAGACAGTATTTCTCTTCTACCCTTGTGCTTGTAGTTCGATAGGAGTCTGTCCACCAGGATTAAACTATCTTAAATCTAAGCCTAAGCACAGTGGCTTGATTTCTGGCGAACAGTGGTATGAATTCTCTCAGGAAGTGTAAAATGTGAGAATGATGATGCAGTTCAAAAGTGTCTTTCTGGTTTGATCGTATTGTCATTATATAGAGGTCTGACACCTCTTCATCCAACAGTTATGTTAACTGTTTTAATTAATTCGAATTTCAAATTTTGGTTTTATCTGAAAAAACCGAATTTTCAATTAATAAAAATAAATTATTAATTAAATCAACAGAGCCCAAGAGCCCCAAGGCCCAAGGCCCATCTTTTGACAATTAATTATATATATATTTATTACACAAATATATATAATCCAAGCTCAAACCATGTTGAGGCTCAAGTTTGCCTCCACTAGGCCCATACTCTATTTAGTAATTCTAATGTGTTGGTGCTTATAAACTATGGAAGAAAACTACTCTCTTCCAATGTGGGACTACATGCAAGTGTATTTTCCTATACAAACTCTAACAATACCCCACATTTGTATAGGAAAATTATAACGTGCATATTTGAGAGAAAACTTAGATATAACACATATCAGGAGAGGTGTCTTTTGGACTTGAACCTACCTTAGTGAATACTTATCGGATTTACTGGGTGACGCAGTGAATATAAAATCTTGAACTGTTCACCTTTTGTAGTAAACCGAGACAACAAGTATCACATATGTTACATCTTAACATACCACTTATTCATACGTTTGTGTTCATTTTGGTCCTGAACAGATCCTGGATTCATAGGAGCTTTAGAGAATTTAGCCATCTCATTCTCATAAATGCGACCCCACATTTACTCCTACATAGGTAATGTTGACTATGAATAGTCTGCTCTATTCCTCTTGATGTCAAGAAATCAACATCATTAAACTTTCGTACCCTAATAGACTTCTTGCAGACAACACACTTCTTTCCATCATAGGAATGAGATTTAAGTGTGTTAGCTCTTTTGAATTATGCCTAACCAGTTTGCCTATTGAACCTAGACCATGGGATCTCCAATCAGCTAGGTTAGGTTTCCGTTAGGCCGATTCATTTATTGAATTGGCTTCAATCCCATTCCCCTCGATGTTACTTTGATTTGCTCTCTTGACAAGCCTTTTGTAAACGGATCCGCAAGGTTTTGTCTTGACTTTATGTAGTCAATAGAAATTATTCCATTTGAGAGCAACTGCTTGATTGTATTATGCCTTCGTCTAATATGTCTAGACTTTCCATTGTATACATTATTTTTGGCTCTTGCTTGAGCAGCCATACAATCACAATGTATACAAACAGCCGTCACAGGCTTAGGCCATATAGGAATATCTTCCAAAAAATTTCTTAGCCACTCGGCTTCTTCACCAGCTTTATCTAAAGCTACAAATTCCGATTCCATTGTTGATCGGGCTATGCAAGTTTGTTTACTAGATTTCCAAGATATGGATGCTCCTCCTAGTGTAAAAACATATCCACTAGTGGAATTTGTTTCTAAATCATTAGAAATCCAATTGGCATCACTATATCCTTCTAGTACTGGAGGATATTTGGTATAGTGTAATCCATACTCCAAGGTGTAATTTAAATATCTCAAAACTCTAATCAATGCTTCCCAATGATCATGTCCTGGATTACTTGTATACCTACTAAGTCTACTCACGGAATAGGCTATATCAGGTCTTGTACAATTCATAATGTACATAAGACTACCAATGATTTGTGAATATTTCTTTTGTGAAATAGATTCACCTTCATTCTTCTTTAATTTGCAACTTGCATCAAAAGGTGTTACAGCATGATTACTTCCAAAATGACCAAACTTTCTAAGAACAGTTTCTACATAATGGGACTGTGTTAATATATAACCATCTGAATTTCTTTTGACTCTAATTCCAAGAATTAAATCAGCAAGACCTAAGTCTTTCATGTCAAAACTGGAGTTTAACATTTTCTTGGTAGAGTTAATTATGTCCTTGTTAGTCCCAATTATGAGCATGTCATCTACATACAGACACACTATAACACATGCGTTCTTATGTGTCTTGATATAGACACATTTATCACATTCGTTTATTTTAAAACCATGTGTCATCATAGTATGGTCAAATTTTTCATGCCATTGCTTTGGAGCTTGTTTTAGTCCATAGAGAGACTTTACAAGTTTGCAAACCTTTAGTTCTTGACCTTTTACTACAAACCCCTCAGGTTGTTCCATATATATTTCCTCATCCAACTCTCCATTTAAGAAAGCGGTTTTTACATCCATTTGATGTATTTCCATGTCATAAATTGACGCTATAGCAATCAACATCCTTATTGATGTTATTCTTGTCACAGGTGAGTATGTGTCAAAGAAATCTAAGCCTTCCTTTTGACGGTATCCTTTGGCTACCAACCGAGCCTTATACTTATCAATTGTACCATCTGCTTTTAATTTCTTCTTAAAGATCCATTTGTATCCAATTGGTCTATTACCAGGTGGTATATCAACCAATTCCCATGTATGATTTTGCATAATGGATTCAACCTCACTATTGATTGCTTCTTTCCAAAATGGAGCTTCTGGACTTGATATTGCCTCTTTATATGTTTGAGGCTCAGCTTCAGCTATCATGGTCAAGAAATCTGGTCCAAAATCTTTTGGTATTCTTGTCCCTTTTACTTCTTCTAGGTTCTTGATCTTGTTCATTTTCTTGAACACTAGATGAAGTAGGATTACCATCATCTATTCTAGAATTCTCATTTATTCTAGAATCATCAATAGTTCTTTTGCTATTGACATTGGACCTTCCTTGTTTATAAGGAAAAATGTCCTCAAAGAATATTACATCCACAGATTCTAGTATTGTATTCACATGTATATCAGAAACATCAGAGTGAAATACTAAAAATCTATAAGCAGCACTATTGGATGCAAATCCAATGAAGACACAATCTATAGTTTTGGGTCCAAGTTTAGTTCTCTTTGGCAAAGGAACTTGAACTTTTGCTAGGCAACCCCACACTTTGAGTGTCTTATAGGTTGGTAACCTTCCTTTCCATACTTCATATGGTGACTTGTTACTCGTTTTATGTGGAATTCGATTCAAGATTGTATTTGCAGTAAGTAAGGCTTCACCCCACATGTTATGTGGAAGCCCAGAACTATTCAGCATAGAATTTATCATGTCTTTTAATGTCCTATTTTTCCTTTCAGCAACACCGTTTTGTTGCGGTGTATAAGGAGCTGTCGTTTGATGAATTATACCATTTGTGGCACAAAATTCAGCAAATGCAGTGGATTCATATTCCCCTCCTCTATCTGATCTTAGGACTTTAATTTTTCTGTTGAGTTGATTTTCAACTTCAGCCTTATATGTCTTAAACATATCCAAGGTCTCATCTTTGCTATGTAATAAATATACATAACAGTACTTGCTGCAATCATCAATGAAAGTCACATAATATTGCTTTCCTCCACGACTTGGTGTTGATTTAAAATCACATAAATCACTATGAATTAAGCCTAGCAGTTCATTGGACCTATTATGTACAGATTTAAAACTTTTTCTGGCAAATTTAGATTCTGTACATGTTTCACATTTAATATTTTCAATAGAATCTAACTTAGGCAGCAATCCTAAATTATACATTCTATGTAAGGAACGGAAATTCACATGTCCTAATCTAGCATGCCATAATGTAGAAGAAGAATCAACCATATAAGCAGAAGCCTTATTTATATTATTATTCATAGAATTGGCAGATACATTGACTTTGAATAACCCATCAGCAAGATAACCTTTTCCCACAAACATTCCCCCCTTAGTTAGTACAACTTTGTTGGATTCGAAAACTAGTTTGAATCCTTTGTTGCTTAGAACAGGTCCAGATACCAAGTTCCTTCTTATGTCTGGCACATGCAGCACATCTAGGAGGGTTAGTTCCTTTCCAGAGGTGAATTTCAGAAGCACTTTTCCCTTTCCAACAACAGCAGATGCAGAGGCATTTCCCATAAACAGTTGTTCACCACCATGTATCTCTTGGTAAGTAAGAAATGCATTCTTATCACCACAGATATGGCGGGTGGCTCCAGTATCAATCAGCCACTCATTGTCATTCGAAACCATGTTGGTTTCTGACACCACTGCAGCCAAGTTTTCTTCAGTCACATTGGCCTGATTGTTCCTTGGCCTGTTGTAGTTTGGATTTGCAGGATTGGCAGGATTCTGATTCTTTCTATGCCTGCAGTCTTGAGCCTTATGGCCTGTTTTCCCACAGACCCAGCATGCTCCTTTAATCTTTTTGAAGTCTTTTCCTTTTGCTCCAGGAACAAAGTTCTTCTTGTTCATTTTGGGATTGAATTTTGGTTTTGCTGAGGTTCCTTCAACTATGTTTGCCTTGGCTTCCATGTTTGAAACCACATTCTTGTTCTCACTTATTCTGTTATCCTCCTCAATCCGAAGCCTAACAATGAGATCCTCCATACTCATCTCCTTTCTCTTGTGCTTCAAATAACTCTTGAATTCTTTCCAATTTGGTGGGAGTTTTTCAATCAAGGACGCCACTTGGAAAGATTCATTGATCTTCATGCCTTCAGCAAGAATCTCATGGATAATTTTCTGGAGGTTTTCAACTTGTTTGACAACAGGTTTGGAATCTACCATCTTGAAATCCAGAAATCTGCCTACAACAAATTTCTTGGATCCTGCATCTTCAGTTTTATATTTTTTCTCAAGAGATTCCCAAACTTCTCTAGCCGTCTTGAATGCTGCATAGACATCATACAGTGCATCATCAAGTCCATTCAAGATATAGTTCCTGCACAGAAAATCAGATTGTGTCCATGCATCAATTGCAGCGACAGTCTCTTTGGTTGCAGGATCCTTATTCGACACAGGGGCATCCTGTCTGAGAATGTGGGCTAGATTTAATGTTGTCAGATAGAACAACATCTTCTGTTGCCAACGTTTGAAGTCAGTGCCTTTGAATTTCTCAGGCTTTTCGGCATGAGAGGTCTTACTTCCTGATTGTTCCATATTACTGTCTAAAGATTGTTGGAAACAATCAATATAAAACCAAAATAACAGAATAATAAAAACCAACGAATATATTTTATATAGATATAATTGAATCAATACAGCAATAATATAGATTGTAGAATACTGACTTGAATTGTAGATAGAGTCCTGCAGATTTGCAGTGTCCTTTAGACAGTATTTCTCTTCTACCCTTGTGCTTGTAGTTCGATAGGAGTCTGTCCACCAGGATTAAACTATCTTAAATCTAAGCCTAAGCACAGTGGCTTGATTTCTGGCGAACAGTGGTATGAATTCTCTCAGGAAGTGTAAAATGTGAGAATGATGATGTAGTTCAAAAGTGTCTTTCTGGTTTGATCGTATTGTCATTATATAGAGGTCTGACACCTCTTCATCCAACAGTGATGTTAACTGTTTTAATTAATTCGAATTTCAAATTTTGGTTTTATCTGAAAAAACCGAATTTTCAATTAATAAAAATAAATTATTAATTAAATCAACAGAGCCCAAGAGCCCCAAGGCCCAAGGCCCATCTTTTGACAATTAATTATATATATATTTATTACACAAATATATATATAATCCAAGCTCAAACCATGTTGAGGCTCAAGTTTGCCTCCACTAGGCCCATGCTCTATTTAGTAATTCTAATGTGTTGGTGCTTATAAACTATGGAAGAAAACTACTCTCTTCCAATGTGGGACTACATGCAAGTGTATTTTCCTATACAAACTCTAACAATTGGAACATGCAATCCATGTTGAAGATGGGGTCATTTGTGTCAATATGTTCCTCGTCAGAAGGGTACTTCCGGAACAGTTCAATTACAAAGCAACCATCAAGTATCATCATTTCTACCAAGTCATTTTGGCTTAGATGATCAAGAAGGCACTTGCCACACCAGTTTGGGTAAAGATAGGTGGTAGCCTCTTGGGCGATGCCCACAATCCCACATCGAAATAATAAGGTCTACCACCTTGGTCTTCTATAAAAATGGCTCAAGTCCTAGAAAACGAGGTAACATTGATTTTGGCTATCAAGCCCTTACTTTGTCCAATATATTAATCACTCCTTTAAGCTAATTTAAGTGTCGGAGAGCCTTTAGCTGGTATCACAATACCCAAGGTCTTACCGTTGCTCTTTGTCTTGTAGATTACTCACGTCTGCCGAATGGCCCACAAGACCAAAGGCATCCTCACTCCTAAGTTGGGTCCAATAGTGGTCATCCATTTTTGGGCATCAACAATACTCTAACAACACTAACAGTTGAGCTAACAAAACTAGGCTTAGATGGTGCCACTTGTCACAATCTGATATGTCTGCTATATGACTCTAACAATCCCCTGTAATCTCAGGAGTGGAGCAGCCAAGCATGAGATTGTGACAATGTTTGAGAAAGAGAAAGGAACTGAAAAGCCTTTGGTAAGAATGTCTAGAAATTGTTCATTGGAGGACACTAACTGCAGAATAATATTTTTTCCGATAACACGCTCCCTGATAAAATGAATGTTAATTTGTTCCATTGATTGACTAACTTTTTATTTGAACTAGGGAGAGAAACATTCAATTTATGGAGTTATTTTTTGGTGTGACCATTATATGACCACAACGTGTTACCAATTCGTGCATATTATAACATGTGTGTTTATTTATTAATCTAGGTAATGACATATCAAGTTTATCGTGCATCTATATTATAGCACATGTACTAAAAACACCATGTGAAGGTATGTCACACCCAGAATTTTTAGTATTTTCCAACAGTGGGACGGAAATACCCATAGAGCAATAGATCTAGTTGGTAATCTGGTTTTGATTGGTTAGGTCAATTCTAAATCTCCACATGTGAATACTATATGGTGCACGATAAGATTGGTTGGTGTATTCAGTTAAGATTTTAATTGATTTTAAAGTAGTTAGAACTTTATGGAATTTATAGAGTTTGATAGAGTTTAATAGTGGATTTTAATAGATTTTAAAGTAGTTAGAACCAATTGAATTTTATAAGAATTTTGATGAAATTTGTTGGAATTTTATCAAAGTTTGATAGACTTTTTTTAATTTCATTTTTATAATTATAATAAACTTCTATAAATTCAAAAATTATAGTGGTAGGTCATCATGTTTGATGTTGGTGATGGTAGTAGAGATGGTGTGGTGGGAATGGTAGATTCATTAATGGTGGTGGGGAGAATGGTGGCAATGACCATGTCAAGTGGTGGTGGTGGTGGCGGTAGGAGATGGCAGTGGTGACGACGGTGGCGCTGACAGTGACGATGACAATGGCGGTGGTTTTTTTTTTTTTTTTTTTTTTTTTTTTTTTTTTTTTTTTTTTTTTTTTTTTTTTTTTTTTTTTTTTTTTTTTTTTTTTTTTTTTTTTTTTTTTTTTTTTTTTTTTTTTTTTTTTTTTTTTTTTTTTTTTTTTTTTTTTTTTTTTTTTTTTTTTTTTTTTTTTTTTTTTTTTTTTTTTTTTTTTTTTTTTTTTTTTTTTTTTTTTTTTTTTTTTTTTTTTTTTTTTTTTTTTTTTTTTTTTTTTTTTTTTTTTTTTTTTTTTTTTTTTTTTTTTTTTTTTTTTTTTTTTTTTTTTTTTTTTTTTTTTTTTTTTTTTTTTTTTTTTTTTTTTTTTTTTTTTTTTTTTTTTTTTTTTTTTTTTTTTTTTTTTTTTTTTTTTTTTTTTTTTCCCCATGGTCGTGGTCGTGGTGAGGATGGCGAAGGTGGGAGTGGCAGTGACGATGGTGGTAGAGGCAATGGATGTGGCGGTGGTAATGGTGGCAGTGATGGTGGCGGTGGTGGTGACAGTGGAGGTGATGGTAAGAGTGGTATTGGTTGTGGTGGTGGAGGTGGTGGTGGAGGTTGTGGGGGTGGTGATGATTAGGCTATAATGGTGGCAGCTGTGGTGGTAGTGTAGGTGGTGGTTTTAGCCTACACCTCAGACCACCTGATTAAAGCTCTTTTGCCCATGTGCTGTTAGTTATATATTTTGAGCTGGCATGTTAGTTACGATTACTAGTTAGTTGGTAGTCTGTTAAGTTAATCAGCTGGTTAGTGTTAATTAAGCTACTGATCTACATGTATGTATATATAAGCTGGTACTGTTTCTTTGAGATAATAATGGAAAAACATTCCTTCAATATCAAATCTCTCTCTCGAACTCTCTCTTCTACCTTCTGTGATTGCTAAGCTTGATTGAGCTCTTTAATGGAGTCCTAGAGGAAAGCTTTCATGGTATCAGAGCTTCCTCTCTGATTATCATTGATTGATTTTCTTTTCTTTCTCTTTTCTTTCACTGCTCAGTTCTTCGATCCTTACTCTGCTTCGTTTCTCTTTGCGATTTTCTAGCTTTCTTCTCTACTTCCTGCTCTTTCGTCTCTGTTTGCTTCGATCTAGTCTCTTCACTTTGATTTCGTCTTTGTTTCTTGCAATTGCTTCTTCTGTACTTGCTTTCTCAAGTTCAATTTCAGTTTCTGTGAACCCTAACTTTTGGGGAAAATGGTGAAAAGTTCTGTAACTCCAGTTGACTTACTTCGCAATGCCTGCAATATGTCACGTTGAAACTAGATGAGACTAATTATGTTAAATGGAGTTATTAGGTTGAGAAATTTCTCAAGGTTCATCGTCTCTCTGGTTTTCTCGATGGTACGGCTATTGGTCCGGTTGAGTCTGACGAAGAGAGTTCTTTTGAATGGGAAGCAATGGACACTGCGGACTTGAATTTGATTGTTGCAAGTTTGTCTGATGATGCATTTTCTGAAATGATCAATTGTCGATATGCTGTAGAGGCATGGAGCACATTGAAAGATCGTTACTATTCGTTCTCTTAGCTTAAAGTCATGCATCTTAAGAACACTCTACATGGAATGCAGAAAGGTACTGATTCTATTGATGTTTACTGGAAGAAAATTCGTACGGCTCGTCAACAATTGTCAGCAGCTGGTCATTCTATATTTGATTTTGATTATTCTCAAAGGTCTTCCAATAGAGTATAATCATTTCAAATCACATATTCGTACCAGACCAGTGCATGTTACTCTAGTAGAGTTGCGTGATCTTCTTCTTAAAGAAGAAAGTGATTTAGATGCAGCTTCTAAGTCATTTCCTCCCTCAATCATGACTACAATGGTTGCTCATAAGGGAAATTCTCCATCATCACCACATGTTGCTCACGGTGATAACTTGGCTTCTTATTCTACAGATCATGGAGGTGGTCATCCCAATTGGCAAGGTGTTAATAACTCTCCTAATTGGCAATCCAACTGGAATCGCCGGCCGAATTATCGTGGTCGTGGTTCTTGGTCTCGTGGCCGCACTTAGAATAATGGTGGTCGAGGAGGTTCTTGGCATGCTGGTGGTAATAGTGGTTCTTGGACTGGTCCACCTAATTCTGGTCTGTGGCACCATGGTGGTCAGTGGAACAATAGTTCTGGCCAGTGGAACCATGGTAATTCTGGTCAATGGAACAATGGTCATTCTAGTCCAATGAACAATGGTGGTCAGTGGCCTAATGGTAATAGTTCATGGAGTCATGGTTCTGGTACCAATTCGACTCAGTACTTTGTTCCACCAAATCCAAGTCCTGGTATCTTATCACCTTTACCCACTGCTCCACCTAGCTGTGTTTCTTCTTCAACACGTCATGAGACTTGTCAACTGTGCTTACAATTTGGGCACACTGCTCCAAATTGTCCACATTGCCACAATTATTCCTAAGTCTCGCCTCCTTCACCAGCTCTCACTGCGCTTACTACCACTTTTACTGGTCAATTCACTAATCCTAATATTTAGTTGACAGACAGTGGGGCAAACAATCACATGGCATCTGATCTGCAACTTCTTTCTAATGTTACACATCGTCAACCACCAATGATAATGTCACCATAGGTAATGGTACTGGACTGGACATAGCTCATATAGGTAGTTCTTCCCTTGTGTCTGGTCATCAAGTCTTTACTTTGCCTGAGGTTTTACATGTTCCACATCTTACTACTAATCTCCTATCTGTGCATCGTTTTTGTCTTGATAATAATTGCCAACTTCTTTATAATGCCTTTTGGTTCCAAATACATGATTTGAAGGGGAGAATTCTGTATCACAGAAAGTGACTTAATGGCCTTTATCCTCTCCCAACAAGGACTCTTCCTACCTTACCACCTATGGCTGCTTTTCACGGACAGAAAGTTAGTCATACCCTTTGGCATTAGGCCATCCATCGAATGAAATAACTAGCTCTATGTTAGCTAAGATTCATATACCTCTATCCCCTAGCTCTTCTCACGTTTGTAGTTACTGCTTGCAAGGTAAGATGTGTAAACAACCTTTTTCTTCTACGCATATTGTATCTCAAATTCCTTTTGAGGTGATACACTCCGATGTTTGGGGTCCTACTCCTTATCCATCTCTTCATGGTCATAAATGCTATGTCATACACTACTACGTTTCACCATTTGCGCGACGAAAGATTGCGCGACGAAGAATAAGTCGTCGCGCTTTTTTTTTTTTTTTTTTTTTTTTTTTTTTTTTTTTTTTTTTTTTTTTTTTTTTTTTTTTTTTTTTTTTTTTTTTTTTTTTTTTTTTTTTTTTTTTTTTTTTTTTTTTTTTTTTTTTTTTTTTTTTTTTTTTTTTTTTTTTTTTTTTTTTTTTTTTTTTTTTTTTTTTTTTTTTTTTTTTTTTTTTTTTTTTTTTTTTTTTTTTTTTTTTTTTTTTTTTTTTTTTTTTTTTTTTTTTTTTTTTTTTTTTTTTTTTTTTTTTTTTTTTTTTTTTTTTTTTTTTTTTTTTTTTTTTTTTTTTTTTTTTTTTTTTTTTTTTTTTTTTTTTTTTTTTTTTTTTTTTTTTTTTTTTTTTTTTTTTTTTTTTTTTTTTTTTTTTTTTTTTTTTTTTTATATTCCTTGATGAGTGTACCAAATTTTGTTGGTTGTTTCCATAATAAAGAAGTCAGATTGCTTCGCTTCTTTTGTCCATTTTGTTGCTTATGTTGAGACTCAATTTGCTACAACTATTAAGAATTTTCAGAGTGGTGGTGGGGGTGAATATATTAGCAAGGAGTTCCAGACCTATCTTAGTTCCAGAACTATTAAGCAACTGGATGCTAAGAATACTTTTCTTCATGGCATTCTTCATGAAGAAGTTTACATGCAACAGCCATCTGGTTTTACAAATTCCAAACAGCCACGTCATGTTTGTCGCTTGTTGAAATCTTTATATGGCCTCAAACAGGGTCCTCGAGCATGGAATGAAAGATTCACCACTCATCTTCTCACACTGGGGTTTGTTCAGTCCATAGCAAATACATCCTTGTTTGTTTGAGCATCTGGCAGTGATCTTCTCATCCTTCTTTTATACGTAGATGATATTATCTTGACTAGGAACAATTTGCTTTTGATTCAGCAAACTATTACAGCTCTTGGTTGTGAGTTTGATATGAAAAACCTTGGCAAGTTAACCTATTTTTTGGGCCTTCAGGTGCAATATACTTATTCTGGTATTCATGTGAATAAATCTAAATATGCTACTGATCTTCTAGCTAAAGCTGGCATGACACACTGCAAGCCCTGTCCTACTCCTTGCTTACCTACTACAAAATTACTCAAGTTTGATGGTGTTCCTCTCTCGGATCCTACTCTTTATCGAAGTCTGGTGGGAGGGCTTCAATATCTAACTTTAGCAGACCTGATATTGCTTTTGCAGTAAACACTCTCTGTTAGTTTATGCACACTCCCACTGAGTCTCATTTTGCTGCTGTGTACGTTATCTTGCTGGTACCCTCACTCATGGGATTCATTTTACTTCTGGTGATGTTCATCTTCAGGCCTATTCTGATGCTGACTGGGCCGATGATGTGAATGATAGGCGTTCCACGACTGGATATGTTATTTTTCTGGGCAATAATCCCATCTTTTGGTGTGCTAAGAAACAAAGCACCGTATCTCGTTCTTCAACAAAAGCAGAATATAGAGCTCTTGCGATTACTGTAGCTGAGATGTCCTGGCTTCGACAACTTCTCTGTGATCTCCATTTGTTTCTTGATTGACCCCCTATTATTTGGTGTGATAACATTTCAGCTCTCACGCACGAAGCACATTGAAATTGACTTTCACTTTATTCGTGAACGCGTCACTCGTGGTGATGTGGTGGTTTCTCATATTCCAAGCAGCAATCAAGTTGTGGATATCTTTACTAAGGGCTTACACACTTCTCAATTCTCTTATCTTCGTGACAACCTAATGCTGAGTTCTCCTAGCATTAGCTTGCGGGGGGATGTTAGCCTACACCTCAGACCACCTGATTAAAGCTCTTTTGCCCATGTGCTGTTAGTTGTATATTGTGAGCTGGCATGTTAGTTACGATTACTAGTTAGTTGGTAGTCTGTTAAGTTAATCAGCTGGTTAGTGTTAATTAAGCTACTGATCTACATGTATGTATATATAAGCTGGTACTATTTCTTTGAGATAATAATGGAAAAACATTCCTTCAATATCAAATCTCTCTCTCGAACTCTCTCTTCTACCTTCTGTGATTGCTAAGCTTGATTGAGCTCTTTAATGGAGTCCTAGAGGAAAGCTTTCAGGTGGCGCTAGAGGTGGCTGAGGCGATGGTTGTGGTTGTGGTAGGGGTGACGACGGTGGGAGTTGCAGTGGTGATGGTGGTGGTGGTGGTGGTTGTGGATGTGGCGGTGTTGATGGTGACAGTGGATGTGGCAATGGTGATGGTGGCAGTGACGGTGGTGGTGGCGCGGGGGTGGTGGCAGCGACGACGTTGGTGATAGCCATGACAAAATAGGTTGGTGGGGGAGGTGCATCAGAGAGAGGGTTAAGGGTTGTGCCGGAGGTGGTTGGTCGGTGGTCGCAGGGAAGGAGGTGGCTGGGTGGGGAGGTTGGTCATCAATGGTCGTGTGGCTGATGGAGGTGGGGTTTTTTTTTCCTAAATGTTTTATATCTTTTTGCTTTTATTATTTTCCTTTAAAATGGACATCCAAAAAATTGACGACGGGTCCCTAATTAGTCATTTTATATAGTTTAAGTAAATAATTTATTGAAAAAAAAAAAGAATTTAGGGGTAAATTGACAATTATAACAAAGGTGCAAAACTAACCGCAGTTTTGCCTAAATTAAATGGGAAGCATGAGTTACCAAGGAAAATTTATTTTAAGCATAACATTACTGAAAAGAAGAGCACAATAACATTGCAGTACTTGAAACAAAAACAAACATCGGTGGGCATCACAACATAATATGGTTGCCCATTATTTTATCGAATGAAGACACGAACTAAAATGCGAAAAAAGACATGCATTCCTTAACCCTCTGAAATCTCGAAAGTAGTTGCGTGGCGCATGATTAATTAGTAGGTGGTCAAGGGCGCCTACTTCTTAGACATGGCAGCACTTATAGGTGAAGAATGCCTCCATGACCTTGCCACACTCGTAGCATACCATGGCCTCTAGGGTGCTTCCAGTTGCACCTGCGATGCTAAAGCAGCTGCAGACGTGACCAGTTTTTTCAACCTCCGCACTATGTTTTTCATTAAAAACTTGTCCAAAGTTTTCTATTGTTATTGTTACTTGCTGATTCCACGTGTGGTATCGCTCAAGAACCGTATACATTGTCGAACCAGCACCAATGGCCACAAGCCTACTGCCTTGGACGAGCACAGCCCATCCACTCTTGTCATCTTTGTAGGAAAGCAGCTTCTGAACTTGTTTTACCACGTCGTCAATCTGCTTTTTGATAACCTTGATATGGAACATGTTTTCTATGGCGGACCAGAAGGTGCTAAAGCTATCATCCTCTCCATCATTCTTTGCGTTCTTCTCCACAGGATATGACTCAATAGAAATCTTTGAGTCTTGTATTTTTTTATCATTTTTAAGGGCAGTTGCTTTCTCCTTGAACTGATTCATCCACACTGAATCCCCTCCGTAGAAGAAAATGTAATCGTCTTTGTTCTGTTGGAAATAAAATGTATATATAGACTTAGTTTCCAACGGCGTGATGTTTGCATTTAAGAAAGAGATATTTAGTGATATACCCATTCTTAGCACTAATATTATAGATAAACCCTCCATAATTGAATTTCTATAAACAAACCAAAAAAAAAACTCCAAAAATGACAGCTGGCCTTATTGAATTTAATATTGATTATTAAATTACTTTAATACCCTATTGAGTGTTTTGGGTATTTTTATGAGATTTTGAGGTTGAGCTTGTTTTAAGAAATTTATGGTAGTTTTGTAATTTATAAGAAGTTAAGGCCTCTTTGTTATGTTGTAAATGAGTTTTGGGTGTGTTTATAAAGTTCATTTCATATGGGGTATTTTTATAATTTGGGCCCCCATATTGGGTATATTAGTGAATCTCCCTTTTTTTTTTTTTTTTTTTTTTTTTTTTTTTTTTTTTTTTTTTTTTTTTTTTTTTTTTTTTTTTTTTTTTTTTTTTTTTTTTTTTTTTTTTTTTTTTTTTTTTTTTTTTTTTTTTTTTTTTTTTTTTTTTTTTTTTTTTTTTTTTTTTTTTTTTTTTTTTTTTTTTTTTTTTTTTTTTTTTTTTTTTTTTTTTTTTTTTTTTTTTTTTTTTTTTTTTTTTTTTTTTTTTTTTTTTTTTTTTTTTTTTTTTTTTTTTTTTTTTTTTTTTTTTTTTTTTTTTTTTTTTTTTTTTTTTTTTTTTTTTTTTTTTTTTTTTTTTTTTTTTTTTTTTTTTTTTTTTTTTTTTTTTTTTTTTTTTTTTTTTTTTTTTTTTTTTTTTTTTTTTTTTCCCCGGTGTGCGATATTAGAAGCATACCCATCGGGAAAACTTTACTGACGATACAAACTTTAGAAACTCTTTCTTGTCATTCGGTTTCATAGAAAAGAATGCAAGATCCCTTCTAGCTTTATCATTGTCCCTATTCATCCATAAACCCCTTCGTATGCCCATTCTTTCCAAATCAAGACGAGCTTTGATCGTGTCCTTTGTCTTCCCCTCGATATCTAGAATCGTGCCCACCAATGTGTCGAATACATTTTTCTCAACATGCATCACATCTAGATTGTGCCTCAATTTTAGTTTCGACCAATATGGGAGCTCAAAAAACATAGGTTTGTGCGTCCAGTTCATATGTGTAGAAGGTCTGATACGACTAACTGTTTTCCCGAAGGGAGCAAAATCCAACCGGTTCAGCTGGTCCAATATCTCATCACCGGACCATTCTCTGGGTCTAAGGCGACGCTCAGTGTTCCCGTCGAACTCTTTATCTTTTTCCCTCCACTCATGGTCCCATGGCAACCATCTCCGATGACCAAGGTAACAAACTTTTCCAGCATGCCAACCAGAAGTTACATCTTCCTTGCATACAGGACATGCCATATAACCTTTTGTGCTCCACCCAGAAACCATTGCATATGCTGGGAAATCATTCACAGTCCACATAACTGCTGCCCGCAAAGTGAACATCTTCCCAGTTGATTTATCGTACGTGCGAACACCGTTTGTCCACAAATCCTTTAGCTCATCAACCAGCGGCCTTAAGTAAACATCGATTGACCTCCCAGGATCCTCAGTTATCAAAACAGTCATCATCATGTATTCTTTTTTCATGCATTTCCAAGGCGGCAAATTATATGGGAATACGAAAATCGGCCAAGTGCTGTGGTGTTGGTTTAGAACCCCATACGGATTGAATCCGTCAGTGGCAAGTCCCAATCTAACATTTCGGGGATCAGCAGCAAACTCTGGGAACGTTCGATCGAACTCTTTCCATGCCTCCCCATCTGCAGGATGCCGCATCACATCATCGTCTACCCGTTTTTCCTGATGCCATCTCATGTCTGTGGCAGTATGCGTCGACATATACAATCGCTGCAACCTAGGTTTCAGGGGCAAATAACGCATGACTTTTTGTGGGATCTTAGTCGTCCTATTCTGAGATGTCATCTTGAACCTCGACTCATTGCATATAGGACATGTATCCAACGATTCATGCTCTTTGTAGAATAACATGCAATTGTTTTTGCAAGCATGGATTTTTTCATAACCCAATCCAAGACCATTCAACACCTTCTGCGCCTGTTTATGGTCTTTCGGCAAACAATTGTCCGTCGGAAGCATTCTCTTGAAAACCCCCAAAAAGTAATCGAAACACAGGTTCGACATACGATACTTTATTTTTCCGTGCATTAGCTCCACAATGGCCGTGAGAACGGAAAAGCTCTCGCACCCCGGGTATAACTCTTGGTTGGCATTTTTTAACAATTTCTCATATTGTTCAAACTCCGCACTGTCTATTGGTGTAGGCACATCATCTTGCTCTTCTTGATTCATGTTGGTCGATGCAAATGGAAAAACATCCTGTATAATATCCATGACTTCATCATTAGCATCCACAATAGGTTGAACATTGTCCACTCTTGTGGCATTTGAAGACGAAGCATGCTCTAATTGTTCCCCGTGAAGGTTCCAAATGCTATATGTCTCAATCATTCCATTTCTTACTAAATGAAATCCAACATTTTCAATTGTCTCCCATAACGTGTTGTTGCACCTCCTACAAGGACAACGGATTCTAGTTGCACCCGGGTTGTGTCTACGTGCAAACTCAATAAAATCCTCGATTCCATCCAAGTATTCGTCTGCGCATCTGTTAGGGTTTTGTATCCACCTTCTGTCCATAATTCCTGAAACCAGAATCACAACACAACAATCACAACAACTTCATACGAAGTTATAATGTCACCTTATGCCTCCGGTAAGGGTCCTATCCCATTCGGGAATGCATACTCCTGCCACGTAACCTACGACTACATGAGATTAGATTTCGACGTGGATGAATTTCGCCAGCATCTCGCTACAGTTCTTGAGGTGGCCATAGGTATAAATACCTATGTACCACCCGAAGAACGTACCGAGATGACAACGAAATATCCACAATCGAAACCTAATCCTGTAGCCATAGATTACGTGACAACACTATGCATTACCAAACTGTCCAAATAATGGGACAATTCAAGAATTAATTGGACCGCAGTCATGCATTACGCATCCATGCACGAAATCCAACTAATCTCGAACGGGAAACTAAGTGTTACTAAACATAAAAATAAAAGCACGAAGTTAATTTCAATTAACTTCGTACATCACAACAGATTGTACTACGTTACGCACAACATAATATAAATATAACTTCACAAGAACATTTTAAACATATATAAAACAAATAAAATACCTTCTCAATCGTTCTCCACCAATCGCTAATTACAAATATCCCTAACGAAAACAAATTAAAAAACCTTAGTACGAACTTAAATTAATACTTTTAAACTAATGACGAAAAATACTTACCCAATCAATGTATTGAAATCCTAGCAGCAGCAGAGAGGTTGAGAGAGAGGCAGAGGCAGAATGCTTTGTTTTTGCATTCTGCCTCTGCAATGGCAGAATTCTAATATGAAGAAGAAGGACTTTGCGCGACGAACATACTTATTCGTCGCGCAAAGTCCCGTCGCAAAAAACCAAATTATTCGTCGCGCAAACCCTTTTTTTCGTCGCGCAAACACCTGCCGACATCTAACTTTTGCGCGACGCTGGTAATTTTCGTCGCGCAAAACTTCGTCGCGCAACATTGTCGCGCAAAAACATAATTCCGTCGCGCAAAACAGGGTATTCGTCGCGTAAACGTTGAACTTTACGCGACGAAACGTCAGTACGTCGCGCAAAAAAAAATATCCCACCCAGGTCATTTTTGGCGCCAAAAAATAAAATATCTCTTGTTCTCTTACGCGACGAAACGTCTTTCCGTCGCGCTAAATCAGGGATTGTCCTATTTGCGCGACGGATAATTTGTTCGTCGCGCAATGTTGCCTTCAGCGACGATATTTCTCGTCGCGCAAATGTTTCGCGCTAAAAAAATTCCCCGCTCTTTTTTTAACTCAGTTTGCGCGACGAAAAATGTTTTTTGTCGCGCATATACATTTTGCGCGACGAAATAGTTTGGTGGCGCAAATTTTCAGTGCATTGCGCGACGAAAATGTATTTTCGTCGCGCAATTATTGTTTGCGCGACGAGTTGATCTTCGTCGCGCAATGTTTCGTCGCGCAAATAGTGAAACGTAGTAGTGAGTGCCTCTCTAATCTAACAAAACATTTTTTAAAACCATTTTAGCAAAACACAAAAACCAAAAAAGAAAAAAAGAAAAAGCTTTTTTCGTTATCTTGTGTCACTCTAACCCACATCAAAAGTAACAATTCTGATAATCTTTTTCGAAGTAAAGAATGTGAAACACATATAGTAATTGAAATTTAAAGAAAGAAAATAGTTATTTGGTTTTATGTAGGCTGTACTCCAAAACAATCTGGGCTCACAACAGGAGCTACTACAATGAGGGATATGAGTGAGGGAGTTAAGCGAGGGGTCTAATCCAACTATATGTAAGTTGAAAATGTTAAAGTCTAATGGTTGGATCGAACCCTCACTTGAGTCCCTCATCCATGCCCCCTCATTGTAGCCTTTCCGGCAGAACACAAGAGAATGGCCTTGAAGGATCCCAAATTGAGTGTGGCAACGGGCTTGTTTATGGGCCCAACCCAGTCAATTGATCTTCTCTCTAAAATTAGTTCCATTTGATTTAGGTAGATCAGTTAATAAAGAAGTTAAGATTGAAGACCATGGTTTTCCAATGAAAGTAGATAGCTAACTTCAGAGGCCCTAATTTAGTTGAAAGATGTAAATTGACTTGTGTGGTATAGATCATTCCATGTCCTAGACAAGACTTGAGGATCCTCTGTTTTCTCCTCTTTTATTCTCTCTTTGTTAATGGAACTAAGCGTCTTTTCTAAATCCTTGTTCTATTATATATATATATCTGAGACTACTAGTCTATATTATGTATTGAAGACAATTTAAATTTAAATTTTTTTTTAAACAACATAGCCGCACGGCTATACTATTTCCTATTTTAAAAAAAGAAGAACAGACGCACAGCCTTTTGTTGCCCACGTGTAATATAGTCTCGCTGTGCGGCTATACTATTTTTATAAAACAAGACCCCACCAATTAGCCGACACATGTCAAAACTACTCTATTTAAAAAACATATTATAGCCGTGCGGCTGTACTATTTTTTACTTTTAAAGGTGACTCTCTTGCTTCACGTGTCAGAAATGAGCGCTACGTGTCTATTTTATTTTATTTTTTAATAATAAAAAGTTCGTAGTATAGCCAGCCGGCTATAATAGGTATAGCCGCACGGCTACACTATTTAATAAAAACAAAATTAAGAAAAAAGGACCCTCCTAATTACATTAGTTTGTACTTTATACATATTAATTTGCTAGTTTCAAAATAACCAAGGTAGATACTAATCGTCTACTATATAATATTGTAATATAATTTTTATAACATGTATTATTCTTATTCAATAATATGTGGGAATTATTTGTATAATACGTGAATTTTGTATGTCTTACTACAAATTTTGTAAAGAATACGTGTATTAAACGTTAGAAATATGCATGTATATGTACCACCACATTTTCTTTTTAAAAAACGTGTATAGAACACGAATGTATTATTGAAAGATACGTATGTAAGTGTATAATAGAGTATTAAACTTGAAAGTGCTAAATTCTTGTTCTATAAAATATATATATATATATATATATATGAGACTATCCACTAGTCTATATTATGTATTGAAGACAATTAAATAAATAAAAAAAATAAATTTAAAAAAAAAAAAAAAAAAAAAAAAAAAAAAAAAACAAAAAAAAAAAATACTAGCCGCGCGGCTCTACTATTTCCTATTTAAGAAAAAGAGAACAGACGCACAGCCCTTTGTTGCCTTGTAATATAGTATAGCCGTGCGGCTGTACTGTATTTATAAAACAAGGACCCCCACCAATTAGCCGCCACGTGTCAATTTTATTTATTTTTATAAATATATAAGTTCGTAGTATAGCCAGCCGGTTATACTATTTAAATGCATTATATTCAATGGTATAGCCACTCGGCTATACTATTTTATAAAAACAAAATTAAGAAAAAGGACCCTCCTAATTAGGCATTTAACCAATGACCATACCCACAAGCCACTCAATTGGCTACTTGCATATCCAATACAAACTATTCCATTTCCAAGAGTAAGTCTTATAAAGATTTCTAAGGAATTCTAATCTTCCAATGTGGGAACTCAAACCTGTTTGCAATGCATTGCAAAACCTACAAAACTAAATATAGGCTGAGAGATTAGTAACAACTTTTTCGATTTTTCATAGTTTCATCTCACCTCAATATAGGCTAAGAGATTACGAACAACAAGAAGAAAAAGGAGTGTCTTCGAAGCAAATCAAACAAGTCTCCTTCACACTCTGGTTTTGCTAGTTCCTGCAGGGTAGGTGCTCTGAGAAGCTGTAGCCCCCATTAAACACAAGAGTTACTTGATTGACTCGCTGCTTCCAGGAAGTGTGTTTGTAACCTGTAATCTGTAAAATGTCAATCGCCTATATCAATTGCATTGGAGGGAAAAAATGAAGATAAGAATTAACTGAACAATATTTGAATCCTTTGGAGGGAAAAAATGAAGTAAATACATGAATACTCAAAGTGATATATGAAATTCTAACTTGTGTATCTAACAGTTTTGCTTTGTCACACAACAAACTGAACTAACAAATGCTTAAAACAATAACTTGGAGGCTGGGATTCAGTTTAATAGGTATATATGTATACCATCTGAATAAAGCAAAGTTATTTTCAGTTAGATAATTAGTTCCACTCTTAGACTTTTGATTATCATGTTAGAATATGCACCTTAGATATTGAAAGTTTATTTATTATCTTGTATTTGTTGTCCACAAGATTTATTCCAGGCGATTTATGACATGTTTATTAATCCATAATCGGGATGAAAATGAATTGGATTGAGGATGAATTGAATTGAGGAGGAGGAGTTAATTTCAATTACAAATTAGTAAACATGCCAGTAGAGGATTCTCATTAATCGTTGTTGCGTCTAGTGTGCATACATTGGATAGTTTTCTTGAATCTAATACTTTATGTTTTAACATCTGTGACACGTCCACGGGCAGATGTGGCATACTGCATTCATGCTCTAGCCAAGAGATTGTCCAAGACTCGGAGCTGGATTGTATGTCCTTAATTCTTCTTCTTCTTCTTATCATAGTGTTTGTTCTTAATTGAAACAATATGTAAATTTGGCTCAAGGTCCAGGAGGCTTCGAATTGATATAACTGATACGAATTGGTTTTGTAGCAGTTGCAAAAAGTTAGCAATGAAAACAAGCTCAAAAGAACTGATGTGATAATGCAGTTGCAAACATGTTATGACTTGGTTCCTTAAATGTAGCAAATCACTTACCTAATGACAAGTTGACAAAATCTGCAGGTTGCCATGAAGACATTGATAGTTATTCATACAACATTGAGAGAGGGTGATCCTACATTTAGAGAAGAGCTTCTAAACTATTCTCAGAGAGGACACATTCTCCAAATTTCCAATTTTAAAGATGACTCAAGTCCCCTTGGTAAAATGCTTCTACCTTCCATGGAAGTTTTTTTATGTAACATGTTGCCAATATTGTAACAGTCTCTTCTTAGACCAAATTCTACCTTGCAGCTTGGGATTGCTCGCTTGGGTTAGGACATATGCCCTCTTTCTAGAAGAACAGCTGGAGTGTTTCCGGGTTCTGAAGTATGACATCGAGTAGGAGCGTTTTGACCCAAAAAAAAAAGCTAACAAGAAGTTGGGATGAAATAGATTCATAATGCAGAAAAAGGAAGGAAAATTTGAGCCCAGATATGTACAAACGCTTACAAAATGGCAAACTCCATTTCATATGTAATCAGATACAAATATAAAGCTTTCTATAGATGAAATGGCCAATCACTTATGATAAGGTTACAACAAAGGAATCTGTATTCTTCTGTATGAGAACAACTAGAAACAAAAGCATGCAAAGAATTCACCATTAATCAAAAAGCAAAAACTCTCTTGCAATTTGCAAATATGCATGCATGCCCTGCCTCAAAATTCAAGTAACATATCTCAATCGATACCAGCCCCAGTGCTGCTATGTGCACCAGAAACCTGAATCCTTAGAAACTCCAATTCCATCTCCAACTGGAAATTCCTCCCCCTCTCATTCTCCAACTCCACCCTCAGCCTCTCAATCACTTGCCCCATCTGCTCCTCTCTGCTCAACTCCCAAGCTTCCACCCCTCTCAACACGCTCAACAATTTCATCACATTCTGCCTCTGCTCATCCAAGCTCCCTATGAAAGCCACTAGCGCACCCATCATTGCTTCCCTATCCAAACCACCAACCACATTTCCACTCAGGGCACCCACCAGGGCTTCCTCGTCAACACCACCACCACCCAACAATCCCCTTATCTCACCCACTTTCTCACTATGCTCACCCACCGCCATTGCTTCCCTCACAGCTTCCATCACACCCACATTCTCACTCTCAGCCTCCTCCTCAACCCGACCCGGTGAACTCGGATTCGATTCACTCCACTCACCTCCCCTGTCCTGGATGATGGATTCTCCACCAAACCGAACCATTTTCACAGCAGAATCGCCTTGAGGCTCAACTGGGAACACAGGGTCGAGATCAAACTCATCCTCATTGAAATTCCACCCACTAATTCTTCTGTGCTTAGCCCTCTGCCTCGCTGAGCTACCTTCATCATCTTCCTCTTCATCCTCATCATGCTCAGCATTAATACCCTTCTCCTTCATCAGCCCTCCCAAAGCCCTGGTTTTCTTGAACCTTTCCTCAACGCTAGGCAAACCCTGAAGCACATTCTTCACCAGAAAATCCAAGCCCCTGCAATTCTTGAAAAACGAGTGCCTCAGCAACCTCTCCGCAGTGGGCCTCTTGTTCGGGTCCTGATCAAGACAACAACCCACCAAGTCCTTAAAGGCCTTAGAGAACTTCTTGCTCTTGTAATTCTTTTCGTGACGATTTTCATAATCCGAAAATCGAAACCTCTTCGTGATCTTCAAAAGCAGAGACTTTGAAGGAGGCAAGTTAGACAGGGGAGGGCCCCCATGAGCCAATTCCAGAGCTGTGATCCCAAAAGACCATACATCCGCCTTGCATCCGTAGCCGTTATGCGAGTGTATCACCTCAGGTGCCATCCAATACGGCGTCCCAGCAACGTCGTTTAACCGAATCGAAGACTTTCCACTCGAATTGGCCTCATAAACAGAAGCAGAAACCCCGAAGTCTGCAACTTTAACCGACCCATTGAAGTCAATCAAGATATTACCAGCCTTGATGTCTCTGTGGAGGTGCCCTTGGTCATGAAGATACGACATGGCTTTCAATGTCTCCCTGAGGACGACGGCAATGCAGGGCTCCGGTAGGCCGTCGGGGAAAGCAGAGGATATTATGGATTGGAGAGACCCGGCGGACATGAACGGCATGACGACCCAAAGATGACGGTCCACAGTGAAAGAACAATGGGCACTAAGGATATTGGGGTGTGAAAGAAGAGAGAGCGTCTTGGTTTCACGTCGAATGTTGTCGAAATTTGCCCGGGATTGATCGAGATCGATGGACTTGATTGCCACGATTGTGTTGTTCATCGGCAAACAGATGGCTTTGTAAACAACAGCGCTTACGCCGAAGCCAATTTCATCGAGGATTTTGTACGCAGTTGAGTCCAATGGGAATTGGACTTTCTTGGGTTCTGGGTTTTCTTGGTGAGAAGAAGTCGACATTGGAGAAGAAAAAAAAGCAGAGATGTTGATGAACTGAATGAATTCTGGGAAGTGGGTTTTGTTGGAGGAGATTGATGGGTTATAAGGACATAAAGAAAAGTAGGGGTTTAAGCAGAAATCTTGTGAAAGTTAAAAGGTTGATGAGGCGGTGAGAGTGGCTTTGGGACGATGCATGTGAGGGTTGAACTGCTCTGCTTTTAGCCTTTAGCATTCAAGAGTTGGGGGCTGAAGGCGAAGTTATTGCATGTAAATCTTTGATCTTTTGTGAGGGTTTTTTGGTAATTGGAATTAGTTAGGCTGGTTATTTGCCATGTCAGCATTTTCTTGGGAAGGAAATCTTTTAACAATCTTAATCCTCCTATTTATGTTTTGTGATAGAATTAATCGAGTGTTAGACACTGAGGGGTCCACCAAAAGTGTAATCATCATAGAGGTGAACAAAAGTTTGACTAATTTTCTACTTTTTCATTACTCATAGATACTTTGTGTTACAATAATTAATAAACACATGAAGTTGCTTGGTTAAAAGTTTGATGTTATCATAATTAGAAATACTTTTGTCATAATTTTAAAAAAATTCATACATTTGTCAGAATTGACTAATATTAATCTGTAAGTGTCCAAAAAATTATTAATCTTTAAAGTTCTACTCTTACGTCTCCAAAAATTCGAGTCCAAAATATGTGTCATTCGTCTCCAAAAAATTTAGACTTTTTGTTTTTGTTTTTGTTTTTTGTTAAAACAACGAAAAATATTAAACGAAAAAAATTATTAGACTAAGAGTCAATGGTTATAGTCTCAACTTGAACTCAATGGTTGAAGCTTTTGAAAAAGGGTCAACATGAGAGGGGTCCAGAAGTATTATGGGCATGGTCATGGAGAGGCATCCTATATTGTTAATGTAATGTTGCTGTCCAGCCGAAACATATTGGGCTTCAATTATGTTGAGTTTAGGCTAGGCTAGGTTCAACCCAAACTTGTTGGGCTTAGCTCTGGTCATTGTCAAACACAATTGTTGGTGAAATTTCTTCCATATTATGGCTCCACTCTATAGAAAGTCTAATTTGAAGGCAAAAGCAGTAGAATTCTTTAGTGAATAAAAGAAAAGAGCATTGACTTGTAGACTAGTTATAGCAGGTTCAAATCTTTATGACATCATAGTTGTATGTGTGAGAAACCCTCCCTATTCTGTAGTTTAGACTATCGTTTGTACTCCAAAAAAAAAGAAAATAATATTGACTTGCAGAGCAATGGTTTTAGGTTTGAATCATCTTGACACCTTAGTAGTGTGTGCAAGAAACCTCATTCCTTTTTGTAACCATATTATTAACTCAGAAAAATGGAACTATCATGGACACCGGCCATGTCCCTATTGGCCTTGCTACATGAAAATAATAGAACCTAAAAAATAGAAAATCAAGGAAACTATGGCAGAGAGTAATGTGACTGATGGTGGAATGCGACCCTTGTCTTTCCTTATCAGCATCCCTTCAACGATAGGGTAATTCATCAAAATGACATAAAAGGGTATGAAAACTTGTATGAAAAATTTGTCCAACTCCCCCAAAAAGATGACTCTAGAAATCCCAACTACAAAGGAAGCCATGTTCAAGATCACCAGAGCAGCCATTGGAGCAAGAAATAATATTGATGTTTGGAAATCAAACACCCCCATATTGTAACGCTTGAGTTGGTCAACATCTTCAACTTTGTTGGTTGGGAAGAAACTGGCTTCTCTCATACCAATTTTCTTCATGAAGGCATCCACACTGCCATATAAGTGAGATGTAATTGACTTCATCATCCATATCCTTTGCTCATTTACCCAATGTCGAAATGTAAATCCCGTTGAGAGAACTTCATATAAATGTTTTGAAATCGACGATAGGAATATGAACGAAAATACGATGAAGTATGAATTTGAGACCTGCAAATTCAAGAACAAGACCAATATATATTAGGATATTGCATGACACTAAATCAAATTGAAGATTTTATGACGAGAATTATTTTTTTTTGAGGGCGGTAGAATAGAATGGATGACTATAAGATAAATACTTATATTGTGAGATTGTCAGACTGTGTATGTGATCCACACACTCAATCAAGAATAAACTTACTCGCACTAGTAAAAATGACCTCAATATTCACGGATGTTTAGTAGTTATTGCCCTCTAAATGAGCATAGATAAATGTCCCTACTTATAATTGTTTGTGTCATTTAGTTAGTATAGGAACACATATATGTGCCCAATTAGGGGTTAATAACAACTAAACACCCATAATTATTGAGGCTTTTAATTGGTGTTAATAGTTCAGATTCACAGTTTTTGTTGTCAGATATCGTGACAAAAGATAGATATTTTTTATTATATACAAGGATTTCCTTAAAGATAAGTACTTTTTATCTTGAATCATTTGCGCAAAAGATATTTGATAGGAAGAAATATATATATATATATATATACATATAAAAAACTTTAATTACCTCTGGGTACAAAGGAATGCCATTGAGTAGGCAGAGCTGAGGTATGGTAGCAAAGCACCACAATGGCAAGAAATACAAAATGGGGAAAAGAGCAAGTTCTGCATAACACATGCTTTGAACGAAAGTGTACGTTTTCGAAGGGCCGAATATAAGAGGACAAAACTTGGAGATAGCAACATCAACCAACCCAGAGGCCCATCTAGTCCCTTGGACTAAAAAGTCATTCAAATTGGTGGTGCCACTGCCCAAGAACTGTGGCCTTGGTGAATTACAATACACTGAAATCCAACCTTTGCAATGCAAACGAAACCCTGTGAAGTAATCTTCCACCACAGACCCATACATGAAACCAACCTGCCATAAATGAAAGAAAGACCACAATTATTATTATTATTATTATTATTATTATTAAGTTGAATGATTCAATGGGTATTTGTACTTGCCTCTTCCCCCCATTCGGTGCCATTTTCGAAGGCACAGGAGGCTAGAAGTTGGGCTTCATTTAGCAATGCATTCTTTCTGTGGATGAGTATATCAGGCTTGTTGTTTTGGTGGAGGGATTTTATGAACTCATTGGATGGACCAAAAGATTGTCTAAGTTTCATGGGATCCCCATCTGGAAATTCAATAGTGAAACTAGTAATTAGCTATAGAAACTTGTGATTAATTATAACATACAAGAAAGAAACATGTACATGGATTACTACAAATACATGCTTATATAATGTCTAAGAATATATACTATTAAAGAATAAGGGTTCGTAGCTCAAGTAGTTAAGAGCAGCTGCAATTACCAAGTGGATCCAAGTAAAACAATATATACAAAAACACACCTTCATGTATGGAGTTTGGACATAAGGACAACCTCTTGATGTAATAGCCCGTACCAGACACACATGGCCCTCCAACCCCATCATAACCTTGCCATAGCAGCTTTGAAAGTAGTCAAGACCAACAAGTCATAAAATTGTCAGATATATTATTGCACATAATATATATATAATTATCTTCAGGGGCTAATTTGTAATTAAATATATTAATTCATGTATAACTAAAGTGAAGTTTTGTCCTTGAATCCATACCCAAATTGCCGACCTCAGCTGACTGTCATAGATATCATTATTACTTATGTTGTGAAATTTTTGAGGGAATTGAACAAATGCTAGGGAGGGTGATATCTTTGGGTCAAGATGGAAACACATTGCTTGCCGAGCCGAACTTGGATCATGGCAATGCATGTCACAATCTAGCCCTAATATGTAAGGAGAATTGCTTATCACACCAGAGACCCGTAGCTGAAAAACAGTAAGTGCGCAATATATTAATTTACACGTAAATAAATAATTAAATATATGGATACGTAAAAAAATTGTTTAGTTGTCAAATAATCTGGCATGTATAAGTTATGTCAGACTGTCATTTTGAGTCGATGATAAAATGAATTATTAGTTTGAATATGTGCTGCTAAATTGAAAGCTTTGGTAATACATAACATAATATAGATATTTGTTAAGAGAATATTACTGTAGATGCGTAAATAGACGAAGATTAGTGAAAGATCGAAAGAGAGAGATACATACAAGAACATTGAGCGCTCCAGCCTTAAAATGATGGGGATGAGAAGGCCTTTTCTCACGAGAAACATAAACAAGGAGAGGCATATTTTTGGTTTCATTTTCTTGAATTGCATCATCACTGGTTGTTTCTTGTATAACCTGCCAAATTTCATGACATGGGTTATGATCATGAATTTATGTTTGTTTGTTTTTTTTTTTTTGTGTGTGGGTATGGAATGCTTTCTATCCATTAGTAAAGGACAAAATAGGAAAATGCACACTAGTCGGTTGGCAAACCAAAGAAGAACTTGGAAACTTGGCTTGTTGTGATGATGAGTTCACAAACCAAAGGCTTACTCTCAACATATTATCAATATATTATGACTAAATTATAAAATTTTGGGAACTATATTCTCAAAAATTATATCTAGGGACTAGGGTCTTAAATATAACTCTACTTATAGATTAATTTGAATATTAACCTGCTCAAAAAAAAACAAAAAAACCTACTCTGGGGAATCAAGTGTCATCACCAAGCCTAAAAACTCATTGATATTTATTTAGAAGGTGTAAAAGTAAAAGATTCTTTTACATCGATGATATAAAACCAAAGTAGTCAACAAACAATACCAAATGTTAATATATATATATATATATATATATATATATATATACCTCAATCAGTGCAGGGTGATCTCGACCCAGTCTGCTCCTTGTGTCCTCAACTGTTGCTTTTTCTCTTACTCTTTTCTTGAACACCTCATATTTCTCCTGCACCCAAATCTCCCCCATCAACTCTGGTAGCTAGAAACACCATTAAATAATATATAATATATTGTCACATTTGAGTACTGTTTTCGTGTGTCCTATCAACGGTTCATTTTGTAAATCATCTCTCTAATAAATTGGTCACATACAGTTAATTCGAAATCATACATTAGATATTCAGTTGAGATGTTATAGTTTTCTTTTTCATTTAATGCGCAAATTAATTATATAGCTTGTATGGCCAGCTTTGTAAGTAATAAAATGTTGTGTTGGTTAGTGTACAAAAATTTCAACTCTCATTCACCTTAATATCTTCTCTGTCTTGAATGAACTCGCTGCCGCCAAAATCAGCATCCTCCTCCTCTGCAGAGAAATAAGCCTCCGGAGCCCTGCACTTGATCCCATACCTCCTACAAAATGGAAGCCACCACTTTGCAAACCTCCAAGCCTCCCTCATACCCTTCAAAGTCACAGCAGCACCACCATCATCGGACAGATACACATGAAGTTTATCTGGCGGATAGTCCATTGCCATGGCAGATAACACAGTGTTCATCACCCCCACAGTCGGTTCCTTCTCCGGATCCGCAGTGCAGATGAACACATCAACAGCTGGGAGCTTATCATCGCCAGGCAGCCTCTCTGGGAATGCGGTTCGCGAAACGGGACGCCATCGAAAAGACTGGCTGAGGAGCCACTCGAAGGATAGGAGGATTTCCGAGACAAACACAAGAAGCCATGCTACGGTGGTTGCTTTGGTTTTGGTAGTGTCTTGGAAAAAGAAGAAAGAAGCTCTGTAGTAAAGCAAGAAGACTAAAGCTATAGAGTGGAAGAATATATGTGTCCGGTTGATGAAGATTGAAAGCTTGTGGACATGGCAGAGATGAAGGGGGAGCTTAGAAGAAGTCTCCATATCTTCTTATATCGTGGCAAGTTTTGTGCTTGGTATGTGCGTTCTCTCAACACGCACAAGTATCAACTACCTACACCCTCCACCTCCTTTTAAAGGACCATAAAAAAATAAAAAAATGTTGAAAAATGTTTTTAGTTTTCTTGATAAGCAAGATATCATGGCCGCCACGGGCTGACTTCTGTGACTATGTATTTCAATGAGGACGACTAATTACTTTCTCTACTTATATTACAATAATATTAGAGAGAGAGAGAGAGAGAGTTTGATTATTTAATTTATAGTTACCAATTAGCTATTGATTTAGTGATTTTTCTCCACATTTCTCAAACAGAACTTGTATTGAATATCTGTTTCATTGAAACAAACAGAAACTTCAAATGTTTAATTTACCTTTGGAAAAGACAGGCTTATGTCATATGACATCTCCACAACTAATTTGTTTCTAATTGAAAAGTACCCACTAATGTAGTGGTTTGAAGCAAAATGCTCTCCTTAGGAAATGTCCTTAGTTCGAGTCATAGCATCAGTGTAGTGTGCATGAATTTAGTATGTTATCGTCCCTCTCAGTGGCAAATGAGATATATTTTTGCTCATCACTTTAACCCAATGTGTACTATCACTCTTCTCAGCACTTGACACGTGTCCATGAGCCTAAATATAGTTTTTTTTTTGTCAAACGATGGAAGAGAATGAGCTTAAATATAGTTAACTCTTTGCTTGTATTTATGGAATCATAGTTATGCTTATGGGCACATGTCAAACGTTGAGAATGGTGTGATGGTACATCTTAGATTAAAGTGGTGAGCAAAAATACTCTCTTAAGAAAGGTCCTCAAAAAATTAATTTCTAATTATATCATTAACTTGTGATTCTCACACTTGTTATATGTTTACGTCTTAAAATTGGCCACACATTTTGTCCAAGTCAATTACGCCCCATGTTGTTGAAACTTCTGTACGGATAAGTCAATGAAGCTTTTGGCACAATCACCAAAACAATATATTCTTGTCGTTTTTCATTGGAAAAAACGCGGGCTAAATAGCAGTCAATCTTGAGGCGCAAGAATAAAAAATATCAGTCAACAAGGTGGTGCGTGGTGCCCCAAACATTATAATTATTTTCTTATAAAATAACACAAATTCGAATATCATTTTAGATAGTTTTAAATACGTTCTTTAAGTAGAAGTGGGTTATGTCAGCCGGTTAAGATAGTGAGTCAAACCTCTTGAGTTCGAGTTTAATTTTAATAAAATAAATAAATTTAAAGTAATTTAGATTATCATTTATATATTTTTTTAAAGTACATTTTTCAAAATAATATTTTCCTTGAAGAACCCGAAAAATAATATTAAGAAGCATATGCAATTGTAAAGGATTTGTAACTCAAGTGATTATGAACATTTACCCCATGCACTAGTGATCTTTGATTCGATTCCCCTCTCTCTCAATATTGCTCGTATTATATATATTATATATATATGCAGTTACACCAATAAACTATACTTTTCTTTAAAAAAAATATCACAAATTCAAATCTCCTTTCACATTAAAAAAATATTTACTTTCTTCTAAAAACTCTAATATATATTTTTAGGCACTTTGTGTAGAGATTTCATGCAGCCAGGAGAAAAATATTCCTTTGGAGGGGTTGGACCAAATAAAGCTCATTTGTTCGAACAAGTCAAACACATTTTTTGGACCAAGTTTGAAGTCTCTAGTCTCCCACCACTAACGTGTCCATCAAATAATTTATAAAACATAACTAATCAAATAAAGCCTAGATCTATCTCTCCACGCTTGAGAGACCTGACAAACGGATCGTGTTGACGGGTTTCGGGTCATGTTCGTGTTAATTTGGGTTGATACGAACATGACCCGTTAAGTTAGTGGGTGAAAAATATAAGACCCAAACACGACCCCTTACAATTCGTGAATGACCCGAAACGACCTGTTAAGAATAAATCAGGAAAAAAAAACTATCGCCCAGCTAGCCAACAACCCCCTCTCTCTGTCCTTTTTCCTCCAATTTCTATCTTTCATAAACACCATCTAGAAGTCTACAAGTTCGGGATTAGACTTGCATAAAGAAAAAACAAGAAGAGAAACAAAATAGTTGGTTGATTAGATTATTTTAAAAAAAGACAGAGAGGGAGAGACGAGAGATGGAGAGAAGAAGAGAAGAAAAAAAAATGAGAGATGGAGAATGATGGAAAGAGGAAGAAGAAAAGGAAAAAAGAGAGAGATGGAGAGAAGAAGAAGAAGAAAAAAAAGGGAGAGATGAATAATGAACGAAAGGGGTAGAAGAAAAGGAAAAAAGAGAGAGACTGAGAGATGAAGAGATGGAGAGAAGAATAAAAGTGAGAGGGGGAGATCAGATGAGACAGTCGACCAGTTTGGCATTGCTGTGCTGTGATAATAATCGCTGTCAGATTTGCTATGAGATAAATCAGTTTGGCGTTTGATAAACTTTTTGTTAAAAGTGTTGTTGGTACTAATTTTAGCATAATCAGAAAATGATTCCCGCATAATCATTAAACCTAGCACCTCTTCGAAACTGATTCCCACATAATCAGAAAATGAAAGCACCTCATTAGCTGCTTTCCTTTATAGCTTTCTCTCACAGCAATTTTCAACAATAAGTGATTTTCTCATAGTTTACCAAATGGGCTGGATTTCCCAAACTTTTTTAAAAATCACTTATCACCACAAATAAGCAATGCTAAACAGGTATTGAGATGGAAGAGGAAGGAGGGAAAAACAATATTTAAAAAAGAGAGAGTGGGAGAGATGGAGATATGGAAAAGAACAAAGAATAAAAAAAAAAAAGAGGCAAGCGTCTGTTGATGTTGAGGAATTGAGATATTAAAAAAAAAAAAAAAATTTGCAAAATTACAAAATTACCCTCCTTGATAGGTGGATGCGAATATTCGCGAATTGACCTGACACAATGGGTGGCTAACGGGTTCACCCATTTTCAACCCAACCCATTAAGCTCAAGCCAAATATTGATAATTTCGTGCAAATTCGTGTCGTGTTAACGGGTCGTGTGCAATATTGTCCGGTCTACTTGAGTAGGGACGAATCCAACTATTGCGCTGTATGGGCTATAGCCCATGCCTTTTTTTTAGTTGTCAATATCCATGTATTCTCTCTCTTGCCCATGCATAAATAAATAAAAAAAAAAAAAAAAAAAAAAAATACCTATGTTCTCTCTTTTTCTTATTTTCTTCATTTCTCTATCTCTTCTTCCTATTACTTTTTATTTTTCCGCCTTTCCCCTGTTGTTTTTTTTCCTTTGTTTTTCTATTTTTTTATATGGTTTGGATCTACTACGAATTGAGCTTTTTCCATAGTTTCTTCTTCCTATATCTATTTTTTTGCTTGTCTCTTTTTTTTTTCCCCTCCGTTTCTCCTTTTTTATTCTGTGTATCTCTTTTTTGTCTGACATGTGTTGTAAAGTCCAACTTGGTGCGATATGGCCCTCACTGCTGAAATTTCCTGCGTATGTAAGGTAAATTTAGCCCACGGAGTTTTGAAATCCTGGATTCATCCCTGTACTTGAGAGGAATTTGATAGAACTTGGGCATTTGGTATGCATGTCAGCAGACTACGCATACATGCACCATAAAGAAAGGAGAAAAAGAAAGACAAAAATGTTGCTGTAGTCTTTAAAGGATGACATAGTCAGTAATATCCAACACCATCAATTGAATGTGGGATCGGAATGACGGGATTAGTTTGAAACGTTTGCATGAAAAAACACCCGGAATTTTAGTTTAAGAGGGTACCTCAGGTACTTTAGTATTCAAATAAAATTTCTTCAAAATCCTACTAGAACTTTTTTTAAAATAAAAAAAATAATAATAATGTTGATTAAGTTTCATCTCATGGCCATGATTCATCCATTCAATCTCAACGGTTAAAAAAAACACATTCAACGGCTAATATGTAAATTTGAGAGCTAAATATTTAATATCAATCAATCTAAATTAAGTCCAAACCCAAAGTCTATAAAATGTATGTTTGTGGATATGTTATCAAATAAAATGTATAGTCTATAAGAAAACATTACTCATAATATACTTAAAAGCATGAAAATGAATAATTCCTTTGCCCTCAAGGTTAAGAATGAACTAAGTCTTAAATGAGAGGGAGAATGAAAGGGATGAGGAAAAGAGTAGGAATGTTGAAGAAAAAAGAGTAGGGTTTTATTATTTTAGGTTCGACCCGTTCAAGACGTGGTGTCTCTTAATTACAATTCCTTTCTTCAAGGAAACACCTTTTGATTCCATCATAAAGAATTAGAATGTGTGTGTTTGGTTTTGCGGCTGCTCCTAAGTTGAACCTTAGGGTGCCTACGTATCCCTTTCATGAATCAAGCCACTCGTAGTTCAAAGAATCGCAAATGAATAAATGACTATTGTTTGGAAAATTTGTTTGAATTGTATATTTAGCTGAAAAAAAATCAAGGATTCGATTTTGAATTGTGTTTTGGGGTGAATTTGGTTAAGAAACCAAAGATTCTATTTGAATTGTATTTAACAGCGGTTGCATCTAGATCCTAGGTTGCCTACGTACCCTTTTGAAGGGATCAAACCAACATAGTTTGGAAGTTTGGAAAAGTGTTTAGGCGAATTTGGTTAGGATAAACCAGGGATTCAAATTTCATTGATGTTGCATCTATTGGGATGGTGGACTGCCTACTAGGAGCACAATCATATCAGCATCCATTTCCATAGTGAGCCTACGAATGACTTTAGCAATAGCAAGTTGCAAATCAAAAAACAAACCCCAAACTTCAGCCTCTAGAATTTTCCCTTTACAAAGGTTCACATCAAAACCACTGACCCAGTCCCCGAAGGAATTACGAATCACTCCTTTAACACAAATAAAGCTTGAAGCACACCTTCTAGACCCATCCACATTAAGCTTAAATTGCCCTAGCTCAGGAGGTTCCCAAGCAAGCAAAAGTTGAATTTTAGGAGACTTTGTATCACCGACCTGGCTAGCCTTATACCACTCCCTTACAACAGCAACAATAATCTTCTTAGACTCATAACTCACCTCATCATCCATGTTAAAAATATGATTATTTCTCCATTTCCATAAGACCTAACAAGTAAAAACAAAAACTAAAGTCCATGGCAAGTCATCAGCCCACATAGCTTTAGACAAAAGATTATATCAAAGCCAAGGATGGAAATCCATCGGGAAGAAATGGGAATGAGCACCAGGACAAAGCATAGCCTGCCTAACACTAGTAGCCTTCTCATAGTCCCTTAAAATATACAAAATGGACTAAACTTGCCAATTACAGTAGTTACAGGCTGGATCAACAATCAAATGCTCCTAGTACTCTGCTCATTAGACAAATTTTGCCTTGAAAAACCAGCTAAAGGAAAATTTGAAGTTTAGGAGGAATCTTCAATTTCCACAAGAACTGACAGTCATACGAATGCCACTCACTACCATCAAACAAGAGAGCATAAGCAATTTTTACAGAGAACATATCATTTGCAGCACACCCCCAAATTTAAGCATAAGGAACTGTACCCGTCACTCCCATAGAGATGCAAATAATTTGCTAAACCAAATCTGTATCCAGAACTGCCTTGAATTTGTCAATATCCCACCAATCCTCCTTAAAAAAACTAGAGACATTGCGAGTCACATCCCCAACTTGCAAAACCCCAACTTGTTTAAAAAGAGGTCTTTCATTTAGCCACCTATCCTGCCAAAACTTAACTGTATCTTATTTCCCAATCCTCCACAACATGCCTTTAGAAAGTAACTCCACCCCATGCAAAATACCCCTCCAAGTAGAGGAACAAACTTGCTTTGTAGGCAGGGAAGGGTCCAAAATTGATGTACCTTTAAGGTATTTGGCCTCATAAATCCTAGCACAAAGCCCCGAATCCTTGTTCTGAATCTGTCACGCCCTGTTCTAGAAATAAAGAATATTCTAGAATCAAGGTGCGTGAATTGAAATAAATAAATAAAAAGACTGAAAAATTGGTTAAAATACATTACCATTATATTTATATAAAAAATTTATAATAATCTTACGAGTGTACAAGATATAAATAAAAGTTTATCACTCTAAACTAATCTAACTTCTCTGGTTTCGGCTTTGTCTTGCCCACTAATTGATATGAAAAACAAAGTAGGTGAGGGATGAGCAAACCATAGCACAGTGAGTAGATTATGTAATATGTCAGTTAAGCAATGTCATTTTACACACTCTGGAAAAATATAATAAAAAGATACACAATCTAAATCATATTACATCATTACTTCATATCTTGGTTATCCTTCACAAATTGTACCCAGTATGTGACCCCTATCGGCCTTACTGCCCTATGTCCCCGTCTGGTACATTTTTCTTTTGGATACCCCGTCACTGAAGTTCTCATGTTCCATGAATTATACATACTTCACAAAAACTCCAAACAATATATATTGTGTGAAATATTGCACAAATTAGACATGCTTGACTTGAAAATAAAGAGAGGTTTGTAAATAGAATAAACCCATGATTTTCACATTTATCACAAAATAAGAACTTTTAGAACATATTACATAACCCACTCACCATGATAAGTATGAAATATTGCAAGACAAACACACACGCTCTTCATCTTTTTTATTTTTCTTCTTCCTTATCTCTCTCTCTCTCTCTCTCTCTCTAACACTACTTCATGGTAGAAATCTATCTTAAAGGATTGGAATGAATGATTGAAGTATGATAGCATGATACTTTTAGGAGAGGCTATGGATGCACCCAAATAATATTTATATATACAATATTTTAAACCAATAAAAGATAAGATAAAAAAGTAAGGGAATAATATGACTCATCCCTCTTTGGCCAATGATATCCAAAAGATAAGATAGAAAGATAAAGGAATAATGTGAGTCATCACCTTTGGCCAATGATATCACATCACTTGTTACTAGTATGCAAAGTGGCATGACAATGATTATTTGATTAAAATCAATTCTAAGTCTCTACACGTGGATAACAAGAATGGTGTCATCTTTCAACTAAATGGATAATCTCATACTAGGCTTAAGATTTAATAACATATAAATCTTCACAATAAATATTTAAATAAGAAAATTTCATACTAATAATTAATATGTAATATGATTAATTATATATATTATAGGTTCTCACAGAATCCTCCAACCAATTTTAGCTAGTAAGGCTTGATTCAAAGCAAAAGACTTCTTAAAACCCAACCCTTCTTTACAGTTAGGACGACAAACCAAATTCTACTAACAGAGATGAACTTTGGTTTGCTTTTGACTGCCTCCCACAGAAAAAATTTATATTCAACTGATGTAACTCATCATAAACACTCACAGGTAGTAGTTTGCATAGAGGAAGTCACAGCTTGGATTAAAATTGCTCGACCTGCATAAGAGAGAAGTTCGCCTTTCCAGGAAGCTAATCGACTGTGCACCCTATCCAGCAACTTCTAATAGTAGCATGAGTAACCCTTGCATGTAAAAGAGGCATGCCTAAGTATTTGCCCAAGTCAATAGTTTGAGGAGAGCCACAAATATAACTAATCTCCTTAGCCACGTCCTTCGTAGTATTGGGGGAACAAAAAACAGTAGATTTATCATAGTTTACAATTTGCCTTGAAGCTTGACAAAAAGGCTCCAAACAACCCTTCATAATTCGAGCTTGTTTAACAAAGGCTTCAGCACAAAGAATACGGTCGTTTGCAAAAAAGAGATGGAAAACCATATGCCCAGATTGAGACGATTTAACAGCTTTCCAACTACCTTTTTGAACCAAATGCAAGATGATGTGAGAAAAACCAAAAAAATTATTAGACTAAGAGGTGGTGAGTCTCAACTTCAACTCAATGGTTGAAGCTTTTTCTCCTCCTGCCATATGAGTGATTTTGAAAGGGCACTCAACATGAGAGAGGTCCAGAAGTGCCGTGGGCATGGTAATGGAGAGGCATCCTGTATTGTTAATGTAATGTTGCTGTCCAGCCGAAACATATTGGGCTTAAATTATGTTGAGTTTAGGCTAGGCTAGGTTCACCCCAAACTTGTTGGGCTTAGCTGTGGTCATTATCAAACACAATTATTGGTGAAATTTCTTCCATATTATGGCTCCATTTTATAAAACGCCTAATTTGAAAACAAAAGTAGTAGAATGCTTTAGTGATAAAAGAGAAGGGCATTAACTTGCAGACTAGTGGTAGCATGTTCGAATCTCTATGACATCATAATAGTGTGTGTGAGAAACCCTCTTTCTCCTGTAGTTTAGACTATCATTTGTACTCCAAAAAGAAAAGAAAAGGAACTTGACTTGCAGTCTTGCAGTCTTGCAGAGCAATGGTTTTAGGTTTGAACCATCTTGACACCTTAGTAGTGTGTGGCAGGAAACCCCCTTCCCCCTTATAGTTTAAACAATCACTTATATTTAAATAATAATAAAAAAAGAACAATAAAAGCATACAGACCATATTATTAACTCAGAAAAATCGAAATATCATAGACACCGGTCATGGCTCTTTTGGCCTTGCTACATGAAAATAACAGAACCCAAAAAATAGAAAATCAAGGAAACTATGGCAGAGAGTAATGTGACTGATGGTGGAATGCGACCGCTGTCTTTCCTTATCAACATCCCTTCAACGATAGGGTAGTTCATCAAAATGACATAAAAGGGTATGAAAACTTGTATGAAAAATTTGTCCAACTCCCCCAAAAAGATGACTCTAGAAATCCCAACAGCAAAGGAAGCCATGTTCAAGATCACCAGAGCAGCCATTGGAGCAAGAAATAATATTGATGTTTGGAAATCAAACACCCCCATATTGTAACGCTTGAGTTGGTCAACATCGTCAACTTTGTTGGTTGGGAAGAAACTGGCTTCTCTCATACCAATTTTCTTCATGAAGGCATCCACACTACCATATAAGTGAGATGTAACTGACTTCATCATCCATATCCTTTGCTCATTTATCCAATGTCGAAATGTAAATCCCGTTGAGAAAATCTCGTATAAATGTTTTGAAATCGATGATAGGAATACGAACGAAAATACGATGAAGTATGAATTTGAGACCTGCAAATCCAAGAACAAGACCAATATATATTCGGATATTGCATGACACTAAATCAAATTGAAGATTTTATGACGAGAATTATTTTTTTATGAGGGCGGTAGAAATATTTATCTTGTGAGATTGTTAGACTGTGCATGTGCTTCACACACTCAATCAAGAATAAACCTACTTACACTAGTAAAAATGACCTCAATATTTACGGATGTTTAGTAGTTATTGCCCTCTAAATGAGCATCGATACATGTCCCTACTTATAATTGTTTGTGTCACTAAGATAGTATAGGAACCCGTATATGTGCCCAATTAGGAGCCAATAACAACTAAACATCCATAACTATTGAAGCTTTTAACTAGTGTCAATAGTTCAAATTCACAGTCTTTGTTGTCAAATAGCGTGACAAAAAAATAGATTTTTTTTATTATACGCAAGGATTTCCTTAAAAATAAGTACTCTTTATCTTGAATCATTTGCGCAAAAGATATTTGATAGAAAGAAATATAAATAGAAAAAACTTTAATTACCTCTGGGTACAAAGGAAGGCCATTGAGTAGGCAGAGCTGAGGTATGGTAGCAAAACACCACAATGGCAAGAAATACAAAATGGGGAAAAGAGCAAGTTCTGCATAACACATGCTTTGAACGAAAGTGTACGTTTTCAAAGGGCCATATATTAGAGGACAAAACTTGGAGATAGCAACATCAACCAACCCAGAGGTCCATCTAGTCCCTTGGACTAAAAAGTCATCCAAATTGGTGGTGCCACTGCCCAAGAACTGTGGCCTTGGTGGATTACAATACACTGAAATCCAACCTTTGCAATGCAAACGAAACCCTGTGAAGTAATCTTCCACCACAGACCCATACATGAAACCAACCTGCCATAAATGAAAGAAAGACCACAATTATTATTAATAGTATTAAGTTGAATGATTCAATGGGTATGGTTTAATAGTATCTGTACTTGCCTCTTCCCCCCATTT